CTTTATATAATCCAAATGTTGCATTATATACTTCAGTTACTTTTCTTCTAGAATTTTTATCTGCAAGTGGAATTTCTCCATCAGCTCGTTTTGAACCACTTAATTTCTATGGTAAGAGATTTTTTCTAAAACTACTGACTTTACATTGACAATTTGTTTCTTTTAATTTAGTATTTACATCATTAACACAATTGATTTGTACAATTATTTATATATGTTTTATCATTTATTTTCTTATTATTGAAATAAAATTATTAATGAAATTAAATTTAAAATATTTTTATGAATTTTGGTCGCTAATTCAAGTTGGTATAATAAGTTGTTCAATAACAAGTATTATTATTTATATTTGGCGTTTTAAAGAATATAATCGTTTAAGTTCACTTTTTCGTGAAACAAATGGATATGTTTATATTAATTTACAAATGACAGTTTATGTTGATGATGTTTTAACATCTCTTCTTGGTTTTTGTTGTTTTTTTGGAACAATTAAATTTATAAAATTTATTCGTTTTAATAAATCATTAATAATATTTATTCAAACACTTAAATATGTTACAAAAGACATTATTTCATTTTCATTTATGTTTTCAATTGTATTTATGTCTTTTCTTGCATTATTTTATTTATTATTTAATTCAAGTATTGGATCATGTTCAAGTCTATTATCAACAGCTCAAATGTTATTTGAAATAACATTAATGAGTTTTGATGCAACTGATTTTACTGGAGCTGATCCATTTCTTGGTCCATTTTGTTTTTCACTCTTTATTATTATTGTTGTTTTCGTATGTTTAAGTATGTTTATGTCAATACTTAATGATGGTTTTCATCATGTTGAACTAAATTCAATTGAAGATCAACACATTTTATCATATATGTTAAAGAAATTTTTAAATTGGACACGTAAAAATTATTCAATAAATTTAAATAAAAATTGTTCATTGATATTTTAGATTTAAGAAGACCAAATGTTGAAGAAATTTATGAAGTACAAGACTCTCGAATGCATTCTCAATATATTGATCCAATTGAAAATTTTCCTGATAAAATCGATCAATTGTTAGAAGCAATCGATCGAGTATATTAAAATAGAATAATTTATTTTCATTTAAAAATTATTTATTTCTCGTTTATTTTAGATTTATATTGATCAAAGAAAAGAATTATTAAAATTAAAGAGAGCTGGTGTTTAAGTGTTGTTTTGCAATTATGATCATCGGAAAATAATTCATATCAATACACTAAACTTTATAGTTTCATTGTAAAGCTTTTTGTGTGTGCGTGTGTTTCTAAATATTTTATATGCTCATATGATTTTTGCTTAAATAAATTCAACAAAAATAATTCTTTAATATTAATCATATGTTTGTAATTAGCGAGATTGGATAATTAAACCAGAGAAATAGTTAAATATTTAACTGATTGAACAATATCTTTTAGTTTAACAACTAATAAACATTAATTGTCCATTTCCAGGGTGTGGGTGTGAATATTAAGATAATCAACCACATCCACCCTTTTTCAATGTAACATTATTCTATGAAATTCTAATTCTTTTGTTTATACGTTGATTTCTCATACATTTTGATGTGTTTCGATGATATATTCATATTGTTGAATAGCATTTAATAAAGATTTATTCTAGAGATAAGCAATTGTATTTTTTTGTATCATTTATCTAATCTATGGAATAAGAATGAAGTCGATTGTACAATACATTTCACATAACAGATAATGTCGATATATTTTATTCTTCAGGAATGGTGTGAGTGTGAGTGCGGGTGTTAGGTGGATAGGGTATTCATACCCACACCCACGCTCAAGACTACTAGAGTACTTAGAACTTGTATAACTCAATTGTACTGCAGAATCATAGGGTTCACTACCTACTATACTTGCACCTTTTATAGACTTAGAAAATGCAGTTTGAATTGGTGTAGAAAAATAAGCATTAGAAGGTAAATCAGAAGCAGATGTTTCACTTGGATGAGCATTATATTTTAATAATTTCTATAAAATATGGATTTGTTCTATTTTAAAATTAAAATAAATTCGTATCTCAGCTTCATAACAACAATTTATTAATAATAAAATCAATAATATTGACATTATCACTATTGTTTTGAAAAAACAATTTTTTTTGTAATCATTACAATGATCTCTAAAAGATTTTCATAAAAACTTAACAAAATTAAATTATTGCTCTTCATAGAAATTGTTATTAGAATAACAATCATTCATTAATTCGTGTCAGTCGAATTCATTTTTTATAAAGATAGTATTACTTGTCTCTTTTTTTATTGAATATATGATAAAAGTAGATACTTTTAAAAAAGGTTTTTTAAAGAAATAATAGAATAAACTTCGCGTTTCATCGTTTCAAATTGATAATAAAATTGCATCAAATTGGACATTTTTGAATATCAATCAAATATCGCACCATAGATTTAGGTTGACTTATTAAAAGTAAAATTATCGAATGTGTCTGTTGCATTATGTAGTATTTCTTTGAAAAATTTAAAAAAACGATATAAACTATAAAGAAAAATGTCATTTATATCATTTCATACATTGCTATTGGGTTCATTAAACTGTAATAGTACAAGTCTTTGTATTTTTTTTGTGTCAATAAATTATTGAAAAATACTTCATCACTATTTCTTATTATTTGAAGAATAGAATTTTGTAAAGACAAATATATAGAATGATTTATATAAAATGAAATTAATATTCTCTGGTATTATTATATTCTGTAGGACTGATATTGAAATAATTTGTTACTCATTTTCAACAGGATCTATAATATAAGAGATTAAAAAGGCACATATATCCCAAAATCATGATACGGTTGGGTATGCGAAGAAAAGGATGATTGTTGTTTCACAAAAGGAATGAAACAAAGAGTGAAAAAGGAGCGATAACAAGATTAATAGTGTATTTTAGATTGAAATATCTCAATCAAATTGTCTGACATGGTATGTGATGATTTATCTGACAGAATGTGTGTGAGACGAGTTAAAAAGCAATATTTTAACTTTCATCTGGACTAAGAACATTGCAGAGCAATGTAAAACATATTTTTTAAATTATATTACAGAAAGACATAGAGACACGCATTTATGGATTTAATTTATGATTCTAGATGCTATTCTTTCATTTTAGAAATAGAAAAATGATGATTTCTTGCAAAAATACATGTTATGTTGCACTTTTATGAGTTCTTTTCTATTAATTCTTCGAAGTCTCTAGGTTTACAACAAATCGTATCTCATCGAAGCGGCGACACTAGTTATATTGACTTTCATTACACCAACAACCGTTTTACTCATACCTTCACCGTTGTCAAGCTCCACGTGCTTTCACAGAATATGTCTTCATATGCATATAAAATTACATTCTTCTTTCTGTCGGATCAAGCAATAGAAAAAAGCACATTGAATGTTAAACGGCTAGTAAGTAGTTTTCTTACGTTCTCCTTTTTTCTCACTTAGAAAACATCTTTTACTAGGAAATTCTCTTCTGTCCTATATTATTGTTCGCAACAATGACTTAGTGTCTTTTTTTTCGAAGACAGTATATACCATTACAAAGGAATATTCTAAATAATTGGCGTTTTTGGTAGTTTATCTCACAGTAAGAACATTTTAAACTCTGTATCGAATTTCAATCACCTGTCTCTCTCGATCGAAAGGCTGAAAAGCGACTATGAAGAAGGTAAATCGCCTTTACTCGTTTTTCTTTTTCTCTCATCGATATAAATATACGTTGTTAGTAACCAGCGTAGAACGCAAAAGAAAAAGACATTCTATGAAATTTGATTGATGAGAGTTTTTCTTTATCGTAGTCATAAAGTCAACAAAATTAAGAAATGTTTGAACCAACAAATCCTGTACTTGCTCCACTTTTTACGCGATCTATAGTTGAATCTTCTAATATCAGTGATTTTCTTCAATATCTTTCACTTATCATAAAATAGTATTGTTCAAAGAGTAAAGCTAAGATTTTACATAACAAACATTTATTAACAAGCATTTTTCAATCAATTAGCTCTGTAGATAACGAACACTCACAAGTAATTGCAAATATTCACATAAATCATACAAATGTATGTTAGAAGCAAATATAACCATCTTTATCAGCAGTATTTGACATTATATGATATTGGAAGTGAGTATATTCGAAGCTACTTAGAACATATTGAGTTTAATTTTCATGAGAATACATTAAACAGATTTCTACCCAGAATTCGATATTTACAAGAATAATTGTTAAATATACGGTAGTTTATCGTAGCATAGATAGGAAAACGTTGAGTATTATCAGTGTTATAGTCATATCTGGTTTTTCGTTATTCATATTCTTTGTTCCTTTTTCTTTCTCTTTTCTGTTTTTTGTTCTTCATCCGAATAAGATACCACGTGAAGAGAGGGTCCTCTCATAGCAGTGGCGGATCTAGGATTTTGGAAGGGGGGGCGAAATTTGTTTTTTTTTTGAGTATGGAGGGGCGATACTTGGGGGGGGCCGATTTTGGTTAAAAGCTATTTTTTGAGTCCAACCGAAGTAGTGTAAACCTATTTTTTCGTTCATTTTTGCTGTGAAAAATCAAAAAAAAATTTGGAAGGGGAAGGGCGATCGCCCCCTCCCCTAAATCCGCCACTGTCTCATAGTGTCTCATAACTTTAATTATCTTTTATACTCAGTATCACATATGCTCTTCTATTTCTCAACACTAGAACTCGCATAATTTGTTTCAATAGTGTAGAGATGGTTTTTCGGTCATTTCGATGTGCTGCACCTGCCTGGTAGCAGACTACTCGTTATATTTAATGAGGTAATGTTCTGCATAATTTTATTTTAATTATAGATCTATTAATGAAATTTTGAGCGCGAAATGAAACGACAGAGAGTGCAACGTCAGTCGTATCAATCTTAATCGCTTATGAGTTCTCTCTTACCTTTGTTCATGTTACTTATGACAATTGTAAAATGCAGCCAATTAATGCACGATAAAAATAAAATCAAAAGCTGAATTGAATATTTTTTGTATTTTTTGAGCAGATTTATAAATCGTCTCGATATAATATCTGTTTGTGTGAAGACAATCCAGTTAAGAATAAAAATCTCTCACTAAAACAATTTTGATTGCACCAAATTATTTTTTTTAGTTTAACGACTTACATATCCGAACTATTTCCTTCGCTACTACAATCACCTGCGACACGGGATAATGATCAGATACTCTCGTTTCGCCAAGTTATCTTGTACAGGAACATTCATTGGCATTATCGTTCTATATGTGGTATATTTAGAACCCTATTGTTTTTTTACCAGATCATCATATTCAAAAGGTATGATTGACCTAGGTCAATCTAAAATATATACCTATGAATCGATTCGCACTTCGTCATCCAGCAAAAATCTTATCACAATTTTAACTCCAAAACCTTCGTCAAAACTAATTCCAATCCTACAACAGCTCGATTCAAACTTCGCAGATAATTTCACAACAAACGTACTGATTATGCATACCAGTGAGCCGTATACAGCTGATTTATTACGTTTAACTGCGAGTACTCGGCGGCAAGTATTGTTTCTTAATGTCGACAATATTTTTTATTTATTTCCCGCCAACTTCGATCCTTGTCACACGAAAACAACATATCGTGTAAGAGGAAAATGGAATTATCAGTTTATGATACGATTTTGGTTTAAGACATTTTTCGAATTGCCACAATTACAAGGATATGAATACATTATGCGTCTTGATGATGACTCAGAACTGAAAGGTAAATGGATCAATGTTTTCGAGGAGATGCGCAATAAGAAGGCAGTCTATTTTGCGAATAATCTTGATATAGATCTCGAGAAAATATTGCCTGGTACAATGATCCTCAAAAACGTCATTTTTGAATATGTGAAAAACAACAACATTACGGCAAAGCAGCCGGAAATGTTACGCGATGCTTTTACCTCGGATTCAGTTCATAACTATTATAATAACTTTGAAGTAACAAATACTGAATTTTTTCGACGTGCAGATATTTCTCATTGGGTGCAAGCCGTTGACTCAACACATGGTATTTTCAAATATCGATGGGGTGATGCCATATTGCGATACCTTACTGTAGCTCTGTTTGCAGAACAGCAATATGTTTTGCATCGACGTAACTATAATATGTCCTACTGTCATAAATGTTAATCTAAAAATAGTAACATCACTACAATATCAAATCTAGCATGGCAGATAGTCGATAGATAATAAAAACATTGTGAATAAAGTCATTTTTCTTTACACGTTAATAAAACTTTAAAATTTGTTCGATATTTTTTTCTCTCAGAAAACAATCTATTTAATTACCTTCATAACCATCATTATGTAATAATAAATCGTAAATTTGTATAAACATTGTTTTACTATTTCAGCACTTGGGAAATCAAAAGATCTTATTATTATATTTAATAATCTGTTGATCAATTTCATTTTTGTATAATGATTTGATTTGAAATGAATATTATTCTTTTGTAAAACAAAAAAAAATCTTTTATTAATTTCAAGATCTTTTATGAATTGATGATGAAAGTTAATTTATTCCTTCAAGGTTGTCTATATGAAACTAATTATTCATTTTTTCTCTCTCTCTCTCTTGATACTATAGTATAAAAAAAACGTTTTATTCTATTATGAACATTAAAAATATCATTGAAAAACCTTGTCGAATGGATTGATAATATAATTTGTGAAGTATTATTGTTAATCTTCTTTTTTTTGTCTTTCATATGATTCTCTTTGTTTAGATAATTCATAGAAAATCGGATTAACACATTTTTCTTTTATAATTATAATCGACTTGTATTTTGTTAGTTACATAAAAGAATAATTTAAATTAAAAAAAAAAAAGATTTTCATATTTATGTTTCAATATCCGCAGTTTCTATTTGTTTGATTATTTTGCCTTGAGCACTATTAGGTTTATTTGTTGAACATATCTCGAGTGAATTATAAAAAAAAAAGATTTTCTTTGTGTTTGGGAAAGATCAAGGTCTGTTATTGTGAATAGAGCAAATATAATGAATAAAATCTCGTTGTATTATTTCATAGAAAAGAATTATGAATATTAGTCAATAGAAATGACCTTGTCGGATTTGAATGAATGATTATTTTTCTAGTTAACTTCAAAGTCAATTGATTATTTGTCTCGGAAAAATTTAACTTGCCGTCACCGGTCTCTATTTGATGAGGTAATCAAATGTAAAGATTTCCTGTCTTAACATACGTTCTCGTCAATGATCTAGTTAGTCTATTCTCGTTTGTCGGCAAATCATTTGATAAAAATCACGTTCATGTCAATAAAACAAAAGAAGAAGAAGAAGAAATCAAAGTTACTTTAGTTTTTTGTTTATTTAAAGATAATTGTCCTTCGAATATAGTACAAGTGGATCAATATCAACTAGATTGATAAACATTCAATAAGGCAAAAAGACATAGAGAAGGAGAGACATCATCATAGGAAAAAAAACGAATAAAATAAATGAAGAGAAAGAGAGAGAGAGAAAGAAGAAAAAAAAATGTTCTCGTTCTTTGTCAATTGAACAGAAGGAAAAAGCAAGAGCAAGCAATTAGTTGTCGTTCTTTTGCTTCCTGAGTGCCAGTTGATCTTTTGCCATATATATTCAATATGATCATGATTATCAGACTGATAATCTTTTTATCATTGATTCAATTTTCATCTACTGATCAAATCTTAAGAGCAAATATTGGTCAAGATGTAACATTTTCTTGTTTTTTCGAAAATGAATCACAAATTGATCAAGTAAGTTTTGTTTTTAATTAAAAAAGAAGAAGAAAAAGAAAAACTAGTCTAATTCTTGAAGTCCACTTATTATGCTCAATAGAGCATAGATAATCAATAGTTATATAGGATAAGTTGAAAAATCATATTATCATCTCGATATAGGTCATTCAGGTAACGATAAAAATTATTTTTCCTATAGAAGCAGAACCAAATCAAATATTATTGTTATTTGAAGGACACTCGATAACTATTTTATGGGATGATGCCTATAAAAGAACAATAGAAAATGAAAGAGCACGTTCAACATATGTTCACTGATGATGAGGCGAGTGAACCACTTAGAAAATAAATGGTTACTTTCTATCCTCTGGTTCAATACATTCTTCAATCACTTTTCCTCTTCACTTATAACAACGCTAAATGTATCTAAACAATCAATTCCTATTAAATAAAAAAAAAGAAAAAGACAAAAACATTGATTCTTGTTTTTTATTTTATTTTAGCTTTCATTTATGCATCAAACAACAGGTGATATATTATCAGTTGGTTTAGAATTATTTCTTGATGAATCATTAACAACTAATCATATGAAATTAATACGATTATCATCAAATCGTTTAGATTTAAAAATCTTTCAAGTTAATCAAAATGATTCAGGTCTTTATACCTGTATGTTTAATGATGAAAAATTATCATCATATTTACTTGAAATATTTAGTAAGTATCTTCAAAATAGATTAACTAAAATGTCTATCATTCATTTTGACTGTGTTCAATAAGAAATTGCACTCTTTTTCTTGTCAAGTGTATCCTTGAAATCAGAAGATAAGAAATATTATGTAACTACAGTTAACATATCATTTCATAAGAATACATTAGTATGGGAAATAAATAATTAAATATGTCATCAGTAGTCGAAGAAGAAGAAGAAGAAAAAACGTGATTTTTTTTTATTGTTATTTTTGGTTGATTAAGCAGAAGAATTGATAAAACACATGTATTAAATATGATCTCCAGTCAGATTTCTTTTCTAAACAATTCATTTTTCTTATTTGCATTTTTAGTTAAGAATAACAATTTTTCTATTGATTATAGTTGATATATTATTCTTTTTCAATAGATATAAATAATAAATAGAGTCTATATTGTTTTTTTTTCTGTTTTTTATCATAACCTTGACACTTGTTATAATCAAATAGAGTAGATCTATAGAAACTAGATTTGTCAAATCATAGATAACTCCCGACATGATGATGATGATGAATGAATTATCAAACGTCATGATGAGTTTGATCAGATTAACATAATAGAAAAAAAACTAAATAATAGGATTTCTTCTTATCTATATTCTATCTATAGAAAGAAGATGTTGAATTAATCTACTTAGATTAATATTGTAATATTTTATCTTTAAGTAAAACTGAAATGAAAAGATTTTGTTAATATTAATCTGATTAAAATATTTATTTAGTTCCACCTCGATTTATTTCATTTTTTCCATTGGAAGCAAGTGTTTCATATCCTGAAGGTTCATCAATAAATTTATCTTGTCATGCTTATGCATTTCCATCAGTCAATATAACTTGGATTTATCGAAATAAAGATAAACAATTAAAAAGTAATTTTAGTTTTTCTTTTTTTTATGAAATATTTTTCTTCTGTCTTCAGCAATTCATAATGGAGAAGATATTTATATCTCATCACTTGAATCAACGGATAGTGGTTCATATGAATGTATTGCTTCAAATGGATATCATGCGACAATTAGTCGTTCATTCTATGTCACTGTTCAATGTAAGTCGTCTGATCCGTTGTCTGTCTTAAATTTCATGTTAATATCTCATAGAAGAAGAAAAAAAATCTAAATTAAGTCTAAAAAAAGAAAGAAGCTTTTCTTTTGTTATATTCACACGTATTTACTCGAAATAATCCTATCAAATATGTTGTTAACACATAAAAAAAAGCAAATCATATCTAGATTTCTTATTACTTTTATTTAGATCCACCACGTGTTAAAATTGATAAATTTATTGATTTTAATATACGACCAATTCAAATAAAATGTGAAATATGTTCAATACCTTTATCTCGTATTGAATGGTTTAGAAATGGAATAAATATTATTAATGAACAATATTTTATTATCAAAACAAATGCAATCATTGTTGATGATAAAAATTGTTTATCCTCAATATTAATTATCCATGTAAGTTAGTCTAAGGGGAAACAAAATTGATTTCTAGTCGAAGAAATTAATTCCTATATATTTATTAACAAAAAAAAACCCGAAATCATTAAGAACTCTTAGAAATTCATAAAAAATCAAGAGTAGTCTATAGAAATATAAAATACTGCCGAAAATCAAAGAAATTAATAAAAAAATCATGACGAACGAATAAAAACTCATTAGAAATCAAGGCCTCGTTCTTTTTTGTCGTTATTTTTAATATTGTCTGAGTATTCTTTCAATCTTTTTTTTTCATATCCTTAACGCGTTAGATTTTTCCTTTGAATTAATTAAATAATATCTGTATTTTGTTGTAAAAGGATTCTCCACATGAAAAATATGGTCGATATGAATGTCAAGCTGAAAATTTTCTTGGTCATTATTCTGATCATATTGATTATCATTCAAAAATAAGTATGATTATATCTGTCTTCTAAATAAATCTTTTAATTTCAATCTAGTTCCACATCCAAAATCAGGAAATGAACAATTTGCTCTTCTAATACTTTTAAATAATACAAATGAAATATCAAGTAAATATTCTTCTTTTCTTTTTTTCAAATAAATCTTTTCTATTTAAAAATAGATTCTTCTTTATCTTTATATGAATTATTCAATACATATATTCTATTAATTATAATAAACCTTTTATTCTTCCTGTGAACAACTTTATTATCAATATATAATAACCGAAAGGGGCCGGTGACTAAAATGAATATAATTAGACAAGTTTTCTTTGTTTCTTTTTTATTTGTAATAGAAAATGTTTTGTTCTTCTTTTTTTTTCTTTTTTAAATTTAATCTGTCAATTTTTATTTTATTTCTTTAATAACAACAAAAAAAAATCTTTGTCAATCATCACTTAGAAAAACAAAACACAATGTAAGTATGCTTAAATCTTCTTTGTTTTGTTCATTCACCGGAATTAATTAATGGCACTGATTACAAATTTAATTGAACAAATGAAATTTTTTTGTTTTCTTTTTATACTGGTCGAATCCAAGAGATTAATACATTTAATAAGTAATAATAAAACAAAGAGAATATATATACAGTTGAACAATTGGATGACCAATTAGGAGATACTAAAAATGAACATAAGAAGGATGATTATTCAAAATGAAAATTCTTACTTGTTGATATTATTAAATGAGTTTTATTTAATTTTTCATGATTATCAATTAATAAAGCTGTACGTCCATTTCGATTATATTCATTTGCATGATATTCTTGTTGTTTTATTTTGATATTTGTCGGATCTTTAATAAAAACAAGAATAAATTATAATTGAATAGTATTATATTACTTCGTTCAATATCAATATAAGCAGAATTTTGTCCAACATTATTTTCAGCACGACATTCATATTGTCCAAATTGATATTCACCCAAATCCTATATTGATGAAAAAGAAAGATTCTTTTTTTTTTATGAAAAAGTTTATTTAACATACAACAATTTCCATAATTGATTCTGAACATTGATGATGATCAATGGTTTGTGTTTTAATAAGAATATTAACATCAGCAATTATTTGATCATGTCTTAACCAATTTATCTGAATAACTTCCGGAATTGAACATACATGACATTTTATAATAACTGTCTCATGAACATCACTTGTCATTTTATCATTTAATATCATTAGACGAGGAGAATCTAAACAACAGATCATCATACAACTAATTAATCATCGATGAATTTCCCGTTTCTTTTTACATTAGATATTATATAATATGAAGAAAAAAAGACCTAAAAGATTATCATAATTGAATGTCATCTCATTGGAAATACAGTCTAATTGAATAGTGTGATTCATACAACGGACGGATATACTTTCACAATCGATTGAATAACTTCATCGTCGTCGTCTTAGAAATTTTTCATGCAAATAAAATCTTTTCTTACATTGAACAGTAACATAAAATGAACGACTAATCGATGCATGAAATTTATTTGAAGCAATACACTCATATGAACCACTGTCTGATGATTGAAGTGATGATATATAAACATTTTCTCCATAATGAATTGCTGCAAAAAGAGAGAAATCTATATATAATTATTTCTATATTAAATTAAATAATTACTTTTAGTTTGTTTATTTTTATCTCGGTATATCCAAGTAATACTTGCTGATGGAATCGCATAAGCTTGACAAGATAAATTCATTGATGTTCCTTCGGAATATGAAACACTTCCTTCAATTGGATGATATGATATAAATCGAGGTGGAACTAATAAAACAAGATCATATCAATTACTATTCATACATATAATTGTTTCTCTTTTTTTTGTTAATATATATTTCTATCAAGCATAAAACAATAAACTTCACACATTTATAAAGAAGAAGAAACTCATCTCTTTAAGGCATATATAAATGGTTATCTTATTTAAATGTATATTTAAGTAATATAATCTAGTTTGTTTTTTTTGTTCCTGTTGTACATATATATATATATTCATGCAGACAAAAATGATTAACACATCATCTATACGTAAGTTATATGTCTCATGTGTGTGTCTAAAAGGTTAAGACATGAGCCGTATTCTTTTTATCTCTCGTTTTCTCTTCTCTTTCGTATCGATCACCATACGGACGCGTCATTAACGCTAATTTATCGAGATGCCTGTCAAGATTACAAACGAGAAAGAACCTCCTGCAATTAGCACCATGAGATTATCCATATATGTAATAATCTTACTTAAAAAAATTGTTTTTTGATCGATAGATTAATATGGAGTTTTTTTATTTTATATTCATAGAACGATAAAATTCTAATTTTACTAATGATCCAATGAATAGAATAGATAAAGAAAAAAAAATTAAAAACAGATGAACTTGTCAAAAATTTTCTTTTTAATTCGTTACATCATCATCTAAGGAAAATAATTCATCTTATTCTGTCTCTCCTTCGTTTTCTTTGAAGAACATACTTAAGAAGATAAAAAGCAATTTATTTCATTTTCTATTAGTATTTTAATAAGATAAATGTATTGATAGATTTCTTACCAAATATTTCTAATAAAAATGATGTTAATTTTTCATCATTTAGCATACATGTATAAATGCCTGAATCATTTTGATTAACAGATATTAATTTTAAATCTAAACGATTGGATGAAAATTGTATTAATTTAATATGTTGAGTAGATGATGATTCATGAACAAATAATTCGGAACCAAGTGACAATATGTCACCTGTCATCTGACGCATGAAGGAAACCTAAAATTAAATATTAACCATTTAATCTTCATTTTCTTTAATTTAACATTTCAAATCTGTCGGATGTCGATAGTCATTAGGTCGTTATCTTTTTCTCTCACAGATATATATGAGAGAAAGAGAAAGTTAAATAGAAACTACCGTCCGATTAGTATACTTAACTCATGTCCTTGAAAATAACAATAATATTGATCGAACAAAGAAAAACTAAAGACTGATTCGAAGATGATGAAGAGCTCTTTAGATACTTCAATGTATGAGGAAGGCGCCATATGATAAAAGTTTATTCTTCTTATTAAAGATGACCTATCATATTGATCAATCTGTTAAACAAGCTGATGCATGTTACGCTAAATTTAGTCATCAGAAATATTGAGAGTATAGTTGATTAAAAAAAGAAGAAGAAAAAAAGCGTTTTCACCTATCAATGTCATAAAATTTTATAGATATTTTGATTAAAATAATCCCCGATAATATCGAACAAAGATATCTTTATGTATATGTAAACTATTTGATAGATGAAGAGAATATTTTTGTCCAGCTGGATAATCGAAAATCGATATAGACACACACTCATCTAATGTTCAACTAAACAATAAACAATGATCCGTTGTACATATATATAGTTTATATTTTGTTTGCCATATGATGAATAAAAACAAAATGAGTCTGATGGGTTTCGTTCTTACAGAAAATAATCGCTTGAATAAATGATCGATTTTCTGCATCTATGAATTTTTCTTATATACAATAAAAACCTATCTCCGCCTCTTTCTTCTTGTTTTTTATTTTATTTGTTTCTAACCTGTTCAATTTTGTCTTCATCAAATAGACATGACATTGTTACATCTTGACCAACATCAGCTTTTAAAATTTGATGTTGATGATCATTTGTTGATAAAGATTTTTTTAAGTAAATGATTAAAATAATCACAAGAGATTGAGATATTGAAGACCATACGCACCACGACGGCATGACTGATGATTGAATGAATGTGAGACGAGAAAGAAACACTGAGAGAGAGAGCGAGAGAGACAGAAACTGAGGGAAGGAGAAAGAGAAAGAGAGAAAAAAAGTCTTCCTTTTTCTTCCTTTACTTGAACTGTAGCCTATGTGTCTAGTAAGACAGACTGACGACGGACGTTTGTATATGTGTGTGTGTGATAATTGCACTCTCTCTCTCTCTCTCTCTCTCTTGCTTACACACGTTCATTTCATCTTATCCGCTTGAGGCGCATAAATGAAGACGTGCAATGGACGATGGGCGTCATCATGAATTGTAAAAAAAAAAAAAGAAGAAAGAAATGTGTGTTCATTTTGTATTTTTCCTTCCTGTATATGGATGTATAAGAGGTACAAATGATGATAATCATCATTTGTTGTTGATGGCACGTATTGAACAAGAACGAAAGTGCTTTTGCTTTTATGTATACATATATTTGTACTTTAGTGTTTTTCGTTACTTACGTCATTGAATCTATGTAATATTTATTTGCTTGGTTCTGAATCGAATGCTTTTATTCTTTACGTATACTGATGTTATGGTACTGAATATTAAGAACATGTTCAAGAAAAGAATAACAATAAGTACCAATGAGGACAAGAAGAAAAAAAAAGAAAGAGACAGATAATGATTATTCATTTGAACAATTCTTTTATTCAACATTGTTTTTTTTTGATAACAAAAATAAGCTAAATTATTATTATATATATATCGATATGATTTCGTAATGAAGTTATTTCATCAACTTGTCTATTGTAGCAAAATAAATCATAGGTATATATATATATCGATATTGTTATTTCTTCTATGTTTATATATAGACAAAGAAACCTTTTTCAAAAATTTCATAAGAGAAACAAAAATAATATTGAAAATAGATGATTGTAAATGTTAGTAGAAAATCATAATTTCATTACTAATATAAATGTTACAGAGTAGAAAGATATATAATGTTAAGTATATCAATTATAATCTGTAATTATATTACTTAAGGCTTATAAATTTTGTAGTGTAACTTCTAATTCATTTATTAGTACTTATTCATGTTATCATGTATAAAATACTATCTTCAGATATATATTTTGTCTCATTAGTTATAAATAATTCCAAAGTAATGTTACTTTCAAATGTAGAAACTACTTCTTTGTCAGGCGATTTTTATACAAAAAGATTAGAATGTTAATTATAGATAAAGTACAGAATAGATATCTTTCATCATTGACTACTTTTTCAAAAAAAGATTTCTATATTTTATAATTATTAATTAGAATGATGTTGGGAAAGAGAAAATGAATGTTAATTTTCTCAAATTGACTTTAATAGTTTTTTTCTTATTAATCGTAGCCTGTTTCTAATCAATTAGAATATTAGAAGAAAAAAATTAAATATCAAGAGAACAGAACGTTCATATTTGTAACGATAACTAAAATAATCTTCAAGGAATAGAATTCATGTTTATACATTAAAAGAATCTCTATAAATTTCTATGAAAAATCTGTAATTTAATGATTTACTACAAAAAAAAGAGCTTTGAAGTGAAGACCTATTAACAAGTTCAAGATTTTTCTCTTCTATAGTATGAATTGACATATATCTGATAATGTGATTTTTTATTAATTCGTTATCGTTGTTCAGATCAGTATTGATCCGAGAATTTATTACGAGTTTAAAATAATTTTGATCTGCATTAACAACTATGAAATAAACCCTTTAAATATTTTCAAGCATCTCAATTATTTCCATCTTAGTTTTGTAATTCTCGTGTCAAAAAAAAATTAATTTTTTTAATATATAGATGTAAGTCTGATAGATAAAAATTGTAGGGCGGTATATTCTTTATAGGATACCTGTTAGATTAAAACGAACCTAAAATGATTCCTTGTTTGGCTTCGATTTCATTATATGAAGGTGAATTGATACTGATTCTTCATCAATGAAACCATGAAATGGCTTCTTATCGATTCCTTTTTTTTTGGAGTAATTTGTACATGAATACTATATTTGAACTTATTTACTTATATAAAAAAAAAGTATTGTCATAACACACATATATATATATATATAATATTATTCTTTCTAGGTAATGATCTTCATTTTATTTGACATTATCCTGTGAAATTACAAATTGAATTTAACTAGAATATTAATGTGCTAATTTTTCAGCACCATCTTGTGGTATATAACCTAAATCTTTTTTTGCATCATCTAAATCAACCCAAAGTCGATGATTATTTGACATAGCAAAATAGATTCCACTAATATTTAATGGAGCTTCTAATGCTTTAACAATAAATGAACATACATCACGATAACTAAACCATACAGTTCGAAGTGGAGTTATTCCTGGTTCATCCATGATATTAACCCATCCAAATCGAGCACAAATAATAGATTTTGAATTATTAGTATTATTCTTAATAATTTCCTGAGCCATTTGTTCACCAATAATTTTACTTTGATCATATGCCTTATTACCTGGTGTTTGAATATCTGGTAAAGGTAAATCATTTAAAACAGTTAATTTTCGAAGATCTTTTAACATTGTTTTATCATCAAATGTTTCATTAAAAATTGAAAGATACGGTTCACGAGTAAGATAACCAAAAACAGTTCTTACTGAACTTGCATATATAATACGATGAACACCCGCTAATCAATTATATTCAATAGAAAAAAAAGAAAAACTAATATTTCATAATAACTTACGTGCTTCAAAGATATTTTTTGTTCCAACAATATTAACATATGAAATTTTTTCTATATCCGGATGATTCTCAAGTATAGCTGCTAAATGAATAATAATTTCAATTTTTTGTTCTTCTATTATTTCATATAATTTCTCTCGATTAGTAATATCACATTGAAAGAATTTATCTGATGGAATAGATAAAATTGTTTTTATATTTTCATTATTAATATTTTGTGATTGATATCTTGAAGATATATTCAAATGTTGATCAAGTCCAAATACTTCATATTTTGTTGAATATGTTAATGTCAAATGATTAAATAGAATACGTCCTACTAATCCTGAAACACCAGTGATTAATATTCGTTGTGGATGAGACGAAAAATTTATTTTATTCATCAAAAATTTATAGAAGTATAATATGTCTTTAACTCTTACTTAACATTTGTAACAAAAGAAAAAGAAAAAAGAGAAAAGAACTTGAAAAAAAAAAAGAAAAGATAAAAGATTAGATAAAATGTATAAATCTTCTACTGATGAATAATCTTGAAAATTTAATATTTATTTTTTGATAATGATTTTTGACCTCGAGAGGTAATAAGTGATCGAAGAAATCCTTTTACTCCAACATATGTTTCTTGTCCAACAGGTTCAATAAATGTTTCTGGAAGCATAAAAGCAAAATGTGCATGTTCATCATTCATATCATCTGAAGGACGTAATTCAACAGTATAAACATATTTTATTTGACCAACACCTTTAGCCCAATCATCACTACCACCTGCTGATTCATCTAAATTAATTCAAAAAATAAAATTTTAGAAATTTCAAAAAAAAAAGCATTTCTTACAAAGTAAATTAGCTGCTGATCCGATTTTATATAAAGTACCACTGACACGTTTTAAAGCTTCTGAACCAATTGTTGCTTTATTATTCTATAAAAATAAAATATGTAGAGAAGAAAAAAACTATATCTTTTTTTCTTTACTAATTCAATATAATCATCAGGCATATGTAAAGCAAATCCCCATGGATAAATCCAATATTGTCCATAAGAATGAAATGTTAAATAAGCATCCCAATGTCGAGATGATTGCTTAATAAATCTTTGTAAACTTCGTGTTTCTGGTTCACTATCTTGATGTGGTCCAGCATATGTTTCAGAACAAGGATTTGTTGATGCACCATTTTCTAAAATAAAATAAATTACTTCGAAAAGAAATGAACGTTTTTTTACCCATCCAATGATATCCAAAATTTCGATTAAGATCAACTCCAATACATTTGGAATCTGGATTATGATAATAACCATTTAATGCACGATTTTTACGCCACATTCGTCTCTATATCATTAAAAAATAAAAACTTTCTTTTAATTAAATAAAACACTAACTTCTGTTTGAGCATATTCATAACCATCTGGATTAAGTAATGGAATAATATAAATATTAAATACTGATAAAAGTGATACTCGTCCATTATTAACTTCACCAATCAACTGAAATATATCAATTTCATTTTTTTTGTGCTCACATTCAATCTTCATACTTTACTTTATCAATCATATAAAGACAGGTGGAAGGCGAAATAAATTCTCTTGCATGAATTCCACAATCTATTAAAATATTTCGTCGTGCAGATGGCTTTCCAATCTTAATAAAAAATCTTTTTCTTTTCTTTTTCTTTGTAATTATTACATAACATACTCGTATTGTCCAAATTGATCGATTTTCATGTGTAGAACCAATAGAAAAGAGTGATGTAAAGTTCCTCAATGGTGGTGATCGTCTATGCTGCTCTTTGAGAAATTCAACAATCTATTTTAAAAATAAGTAGAAATATTTCTTCAAAATTCTTTTGTCTTACTTCATGATATCTCAAATAACCAGTGAGATGTGATGAAGCTATATTTACTGTCAATCGTTTTGTTCGGATTTTATGTTGTTTAGAAATATCATCGGATTTTTGGATTAATCTAAATGAAAATTTTGTTTTTATTTAATAAAAATCAAAAAAAACTAATTGACTTTTCTAAATCATTATGAAGAATTTTCACATCAATTCCATGTTGTTTAAATAATTTTTTTATTTTTGGTGCTTGTTTTCGTGGTAAACTCATTTTAACATCTCGATTTATAGTTAATACTTCTGACCATCGATCAACCTTCAATTAAAATTAAATTAATTTATTAGAAAAAGAAAATATCAAAATTAAATCTATACGCCATAATTATCTTCGAAATGACGAATTAATTGAAGATGTTCATTTGTTTTGGGTAAGACACGTACTACTTCATATCTATTTAATATAAAATAATAAATTAATTTATGAAGATCTCTACAAGATTTTAATTTACCCTTTATAAAAATGATTATTAGCATAACAATATAGAAATAAAATCCAACTATTAATTATAATCAATCTCCACACGGATTGCAGCATTTATTTACGTTAAATACTTTTCTAAATATGACAAAATATTTCAAAAGAGATAGAATAGAAGAAATAAAGATGAATGAGTAAAAGAAATGATTTCGTTTTTTTGTTAAACGTTATATATAAGATCTTATTACTTGACTTTTTGAATTCTAAAAGTGTACGTTATGATTGACGAGCGTCAGGAGTCGAACAGAAGGTTCAAATTACTCAAATATCCTTTTAGCCTTATAGTACTTATTTCGTATCTATTTGATTCCGTAAAAACAAATATTTATAAAAAAAAAAAGAAAAGAATACATAAAGTCAAAAGGTCTATTTATAGACGAATCTTTTTTTTTTCGCTCTCTAACCACAATTAAAACAAATATTTTTATAGACTTATCATGACAAACAACTATTGATAATTAACTAATCTCTATTCGTATTGATTGTATGATGATGATTAGCATAAAGTACAATATTGATTCTTATCCATTAAATCGAAGCATCTTTGTTATATAAACAAAAACAACCTTTTACACAATCTTTTTAATTTATTTTCTCTAACCTTTGATTTACAAAAACAATTTCTATATAACATTGAATAGTAACGCATTATAAATATAATATTTCATAAGTAGTTCAAGTCTATAATCTATATAATAACATCATTTGACATTCACTCATATTTCTTTTCGTAATAAATAGATAAATAAATATTAAATTTCTTTATCCTTGAATAATAAACGATATAATTCAAATCGTATTATTTATTTTTTTATTTAAAAGAAAATTTAATAAAATATATTGTTAATCTATAGACAAAAGAACTAATTTAAAATTTTGTTTTAATTCAATTGATTAATATATCCAACAAAAGCAACTGGAGTTGTATTAAATTTATGATATAAATAAAGTTCATTATATATACGACATGCAATTAAAATAGCTTTTCGATCTTTATCTTTTTCTATTTCAGTTAAATTCATATAAGGTACCATTAAATCTTTTGATGCATATTCTCCATTACGTTTCATCCATTCATTATGTATTATTGCCGAGACTTTTTCAATAAAATTTTGATTAAATAATTTTTTCTTCCGAAGACCTTGTATAACATATTTACAAGCAATTTGTGCTGTTGCTCGATTTTCTAATGCCCAATCGGGAGGTAATTCATTATAATTCATATTTAATATATCAACATAAATAAGTGAAGAATTATAACGATTTTGAGCTACTTTAAAATTTCGATGAACAAGACATGAACCAACAGTAAGAATCATTGGATAAATAAAATCAGATGAATTATAATGTGTAAGAGATTTTGTTAATTTAAAACGATTTTTAGCAAATGGATTTTTTTTAAGAAAATTTTCACGCCAATTTGAATGAAATATACTTGCTACATTTTGGACATAAAAATGAAAATTTGTTTTAAATAAACTTAATTCAACATTAGAACCACATAAAAGAATAATATAGATTAATATTGTTATCAGATTCATGATACAATCTATCCAACAACTTACTTATTATAATAGACAAAATATGTCTATGTGTACCAATAACAAATTCTTGATAACTCGACTTATTTTCTATTTCTCTATTTGCTATAAACAAGTATGTCTTACATAAATAATACATGAAGACACAAAACATATATATATATATATATTATGACAGATTTTTTCAAGCTGATATACACCAAAGTCAAGAGTCTATCTCTTTCAATATTTTGTTTTATAAGTCAATATTTTTGTTTTTTTAGTATACATATTCATGTAATAGTCAAACAAATTGAAAAATAATCTATATCAATAGAATAGATTGCTAAAATTAAGTAATTTTATTTCATAAACTATAAGTTTTTAAATATCGACAAATACACATATTTATTATAAAGTGAACTTCAGGCTATACAATCGAAATTCATTGATTACATTAACATACAATTCTTAGATGCTAGACAGACCATTAGACGAACAATCAAGAGTTCATAGATGTAGATTATTCTTAATTTTCTATTCAATATTCAACAAGATATTCATTGATATATATAGTTATAATTATTGAATAGTAAAATACACAATAGAATTGATACATCATATTAAATTAAACATATATCTCGAAAGAAAAAAAATAAATATCTGTAAAATAATTCGAATACTATTTATTGAAAAATAATAAAAATGATAACTTTATAAATCTTAATATCAGTTAACAATGCTATTCGAGGTAATATCAACTCATAAATTGATTGTTGAAATCATTGATTGGTCTTCATCCTATCGAATGAAAGCATCACATATGATAATTTAATGAAAAGGATACTAGATTTCTGTTAAGATATAATAAAAAAAAGTCTGTTTAAATGTTATTAGATCCCACAACCAGAAATAATTCGTTAGGTACTGGTATAATTGAATGGATTTCTATGAAATAAGAATCAAATAGAGTAGAAAATATATAGAATCTAATTCTATCGAAGAAGTGATTTTCGTAATAAATAACTTTAGCATTTCAATGAAATATTATTCAGATAAATGTCAACTACGACATGAAAAAATATTTTATACAAATTATCTCCGCTGAACAAGAACATGTGAAGGATTGTAATTCTTGCCTCTTACATTAAAATATTCGAATTTTATTCTAAAGAAATTGTTTTGCTCCTTTTAAACAAACGATGAAATACAATATTTTAGCAATAAACGATTTTATATAGAAGTATTTGAATCAATGAGTCATAAAATACGTCATACTATTTTTGAAGAAATTCTTATTCATTTAGCTGATAATACCTTAAATTTTGACAAACAAAAATTTTAAAATATTTTCTGTTTTCTTTCTAAATAGTAATCAGATCATACTTTATATTGTTTTTCATCAAAAATAGCCGAAAAATATTTATAAAATGAAAAAAACAACAACAATACAGATGTTTTAGTATAACACATGTATGCCTATTAAAATTTTTATTATTCTATAAACAATATCCATCTAAATATATAATATCTATTGATTACCAATTAATTATTTCTATTTATAATGACTATACATGGGTTTTTGTTTGTCAAAAAACTAACAAGGAAATTTAATCTTATTTATCTTTCGATTGATTGACTTGTTTTAAAGACTGAAATATCTTATCAATTGATGAAAAATACTTAAAACTAACACGAATATGTCATATAATATATCTGACAGATTTCATCATGTAGTATCAACGTATAATACATATACGATGTATTACTTAAAGCAAAAACCTTGTCTTATTGTATATTTATTCATAATTAACATTAACGAAGGTACTGTAATAGAATATGACAAGCAAATAAAAGTCGTTTTTACATTTTCGAAAGATATATAATGTCACATATGATGACATCCTGTCAATCCATCCACAGAAAAACTGTGGGGTATGATATGTTTTAAACTAAATATCGAACGTCAATCAAAAACTAAAAATAGCAGACATGAAACTAGAAGGAAAAGAGTATTACTCGTTCTATTTACCACATTTTTAGAGTAAATGATGTAGAACTCTTTGCTACCCACACCCACCCATCAACAGAAAGAATGTTTTACTCGAACCGAACCGAACAGAATAAATACCCTCGCTATCCATACATAATTATTTCTTTTATCATTTACCTTATCCAACTAACTTAGTTTGTACTCAACATTATCATTATTATATTATCTTAAATAAAGTTTGATAAAAGATTATTATTTCGTAAGTTTTTTTCTTTAACATATGTTGGTTAATTAAGTATGAAATAGTATAGACAACGAAATATCTTATGAAAGATTTATTTTAGATAATAGTTTTTTAAGATGTCATTTACATTAGAACAATTTCTACAAAATACAACATGGAATCCAACATTAGAAGATGCTGGTGAAGCAGGAAAAAAAATTCTTCATATGCGTCTTCAAGTTAAACCTGGAACAACTGCTGAAAATATGAATATTACACTTAATGGACATGATTTACGTATTAACTTCGAAAATAAAGGTAAATTATATACATACAGAGTTTTTGAATATAATATGAATATATATTTATTATTTTAGCTGGACCAGAATTTAAACAAGTTACAATATGGCCAACAGCTGAACTTGATAAACTTAAAACTGAACTTCGAGGTGATGGTCATCTTCATATTACAGTACCAATTAAAGTTTAAAGAACATTTCAATATATGTTTTATTTATTTAACCTTTCATTTTTAACCTTTTATAGTTTGTTTTATTTATCTGCATGAAATATCAATACAAATAAATAATCAAGTTTATTCATTATGAAATATATATATATATCATGTATATATTAATTGAAGAGTAGACTAAAATCGATTATATTTTCGTTAAATTATTAAAATAAGATTAACCTAATGAATTCTTTTAGTTTCTCTTTTAAGAAAAGTAATGATTAATATATTAGCAAAATTCGTTATAAAAATAGCATTGATTCTTTTGTAGTTGTCTGAGTACAAATATAGTTTTGTTCTATTCGTACGTTTTTTCTTGCCTCTTTCTGTTATAATATAAATATGATATATGAATGACTGAATGTATATCTATGAAACATCAATGATGTCAATAACAAAGCAGAATTACAAATCTATTTTTGTACTGATGACACCAAAAAATGTCTACTTAAGTCAATCCAGAAATGTTGTTGATTGATACTGTAACAAGAATTAAATGATTATTATTATTTTTATAAAAATCATCATTGGACTGATGTTAAAATAGGATTAATTATGTGTTCTTTTGACTGAAGAGAAGATTATATGAAATAAAATAAGTTACTTATATACTGAAAGAATATCTCTGAATGATAATTAGTCTTGTCCAATTAATCTTATCGCTTGTTTTTGTATATATATTTTAAATAAATTATTATAAATTCTTTTTATAGAATACTTGAAAATCGTGAAAAATACAAAGAATTTTTTTAAGAACATATTTTCTTTGTATATCTATAGTATTGTGGATACGTGACGACATTTAACTGTTAATCATCATTATTCTTGTATATACTATGCATACTGTTTGTTATCGATAATCTGTTTTTCTCTCTTTCTGCAATAAGAAATCCATTTTATCTTCTCCAAAAAGCAGACATTCTTTTTCTCTCACGTCTATCTTCTATCTATTATCGATAATAAGGGTCAAGAGACGAAGAAGAAGAAGCGTTATTTCATCTCTATACGTATTTTCATCAACACACAATTCTTCTATACTTATCCAATGTTCAAAGTTATAATATATTTATCAATTGTAGCTACATTATTTTTAGCTACAAATGGTTTTCTATGGCATAGTGGAGCAAAATGTCAAATAGCAGCATTCAAAGGTGGTAAAGATTTTAGTGGTGATAAAATAATGGCAAATAAATCATTTGTACCTTATTTAAAATCAATTGCTGCTGTAGCTAAAGGATGTAAAGTACGTGTTCATGTTGTTGATTCCTATAAACAATTAAAAACACCTACTGAATATGTACTTTCATCACAAATGCCATTAGCACTTGGATGTGGTATTCATTTTGATTTACAAGATCCAAAAGGTTCAACAGTATGTAATAAATTATGTATGACAACACGTTCATGGAAAACACTTCCTGAAGCTGCATGTTTTATTGATAATGTTCAAAAGAAAGGTCTTACATTTGTTGAACCGAATCTTTTACATGGTGGTTGTGCATCGAAATTAAGTACAAGTGATCTTGAAGCACTTAAAGTAGCAACACAAAAATTATGTGCACCTAAAACCAAAGGTTAAATAGATTTTATTTATTTAATATGAACTCATTAAAAATTATTTCTTAAGTTCGATCTTTTTAAACAAGCAAATTATTGATTGTAATCAATTAAAACATTTTTTTCAAATAATAAATTTGATATTGAACATATGAGAAAAAAAACGATTTCTTTTTTCATCTTAAGTTTGAATGCATTACTGATTAAGAATAATGTTATGTCACATGAGATAAGACTAGGTAAGGGTTTTATATATATATGTGCGTTATTATCTTTCTTTTTGACAAGTGTCTTTTCCTATTGTTTCGGTTGACTTCTTTCTGTCACTCATATGTTTAGGTATTCTTCATTCTATTGTCTTCGTAGTATGCTATATGATGATTAGTGGAGGTAGCAGTAGGTGGCGAGTGTCCAAGTTATATTATAACATCAAATAAACCATACACACATTAATGTATAGTGGACATAACAAATAATATCAAAATAAAAACTGAAATCATTATTTTAACGTTCCAGTTAAAACAAATGCCTATCAAATTCGCGGTAAACAAAAAAAATAAAGAAATCTGTTGTATATCTTTGTCAATAACAATATTTGTTAATTTCGTTGACGTTTTAACTTCATTGTCTACAAATCATATTAACAGCAATGATTTTTGTTTCTATTCTTCATAAAAATTGTACTTCTCACGCAATAATCGATATGTATTTACGTATATACATTAATCTTATTGTCTATCTAATTAAAAAACATCTCTTTTTTCCCCCCTCCTTTCATATTATATACAGAATAGAAAAGAACAAGTATGCATGATTAAGTCACGATACTTAAGAAAAGACAACACCTTAATATTCAGTTGATAATCGATGAATAACAATATTTTAAATAAACTATTGTCAAATAGAATAGATATTTGATAATATCATTTTTATTTAAATGGCCCAATAAATATGCATAACTGAAACTAACCTATATTTTTTAATTATATTTTCTCATACTTGTTTACCTGCAAAAATTTTCGAAAATAAATTTATTGCAATAATAATAAATTATCTTATAAAGATAACGAATTTTTCGACCAAAATATTGATTTAATAATTTTCATCATTATTCTGAACTTCTATAAACATTAAGTTATGATATATACGATTCATCTTAGTAGATTTTATATAAAATATTGACGTAATAATGACCATTGATATATTGCTTTTTTTAAAAGTTTTCATATATTTATCGAAAGAAAACTAGACAAATATCGTTAGAGAAAACTTCGATTATATTTAACATTAGAGTACAAAAAAGAAATATTGGTACATTAAAACATTTGTATGTATGCGTATTGATATGTCAATAATACATATGACCAATATATAAAGATTTTTGAAAAATTAAGTTATATATTTCACATAGTAACTGATGATCTTGAGAAGGATCGTCGGTAAGCACCAGGAGTGTTAAACGTATATACTTGATCATAATTGGCTCGTAAACGGTCATGATATTCTGTATCATTTACTATATATTTGTCTCTTGAAGATGAGATTGAAGGCGAAGCAAAAATTGCTAATGCACCTAACGTACTAGTTGCAACAGCAATAGCACCAGCAATAACAGCAATGATGGCTATAGATTCTACGACCATAATTAGTTTATATCAATTGATTGTATTTGTGTAAATATAAAGAACAAATAGGAGCAGGTTGTATTTACGATGGTTGGCGACGAGTGATAGTGAATGCGAAAAAAAAAACAATATTTAATATATTTTATTCTTTTTTTTTCTCTTGATTATTTCGTTACGCTTCTTGCACATCGTGTTTTTTTTATATCATGCGATAGATAAAAAATTATATATACAAGTAAAACCTTCATAATGCATCTTCGCGTCGCCATTTACAGATGTCATTAACCATACTTACCAAACAATGTGATTGTATGATTTTCATAGAGAGAGAGAAATAAATATATCTATCTCTTTCTATTTTATTTAATCAAAATCAAAATATTTGTGGGTGTGAGTATAGGTGTTGATTACGTTCATTCGACCACGCCACACTCTCAAAGCAACATATGTTTAGATTTTTTTTTATTAAGATTTCGTAGTTTTTAAAAATTATACGAGATGAGCATTCAACTGACTATCATAAAAACGAAAGAAGAAATTTTCTTTTATCAACTATATAATAAAAGATAGTTTGAAGATTATTAACGATTGAGAATTTCGAATAGTCAGTAGAAAGCAGTATAAACATTCGTGAATTCATAGCTGCATGTTGCCTTGATAATGATTAATAAGCAGTATTTAATCTGAAATCGTCTACTGTACGATGAAACATGATAGATAAGACCATTGGGTAAGAGAATGTTGATCATTAAAAAATATGATAGATCAAGGTGTCACATTATTTTAATATAAGATTAAAATCATGGAAATCATTGGATAAGAACCGACTTTTTCTATATTCATATGGTTTTATATATGATGTTTTGATTTGTCACTCAATGTATGATACCACTTTATCGATTAATATTTGATTGTTTTACCATAACCAAAAATTCAAAAGTGACGAGTGATTTTTCATATAGAAAATGACATATTCAACGAAGCAATTAATAAGATACTATTATTATTATTATTCTTAATTCATAACAAACTAGACCTTCACTTGAAGCAAGTTCAAATGCCAGAAAGGCGGCTGACTGCAGAAGTGTAACAAACCACATAAACGCGGGAAAATGAACCATTTAAAATTTTGTTTTATTTTATTCTCAAAAACGATTAATTAAACTCAGATAAACAAGCCATCGAATAATTACTTTTCATAGATTAGACTATGTCATGATAGATTAAAGTCACAAAAAACGATAATTAAAATGTATATGCATATAGTATCTCATATTTCAGTGGTCGCATAATACTAAGTCACGGTTAACCATATAAGGAAATCAACACGTGTTAATCAATTTTTTTTTAAATTATGTATCTCCTGCACGGAGCCGAATTTTCAAATACAGATTTCAGCTTTGCATTCGGCACGTTCTTTCGAACATGATAATCTTTTTTCCGATTAAAAATGATGCTCAGGTGTTAAGAAAGTGACTCATCTGTCGAGAACAAGAAGAAGAAAATAAAAAACAATAAATCCGCTTCTGTACTTCATGCAGTCAGCCGCCTTAATTGGCATTCAGTTAACGATCATAACTCAGTATTTAACCCTTTCGGTACTAGCGTGTCCTATAAGCCACTCTTTTTTACAATTTGACAAATTCTGAGTAAATTATGAATGCGAAACAATATCGAAGTATACCTTCCATACGCAAATCTATAAGATATTCAGCACTTGAATAGGGCGAAACAATCAGTAAGCCTGATGAGTTTTTAGAATACCGCCGCTATATTCAGAAATAACTTCTTAGCCATTCCCGTAGGAGAGAATACAAGTATGGATCGAAAATGACTTCGAAGATTTTTTAAGAAATTTTGATGAAAATATTCACAACACACAATACACATTTCAAATATAAAGTCTCAACAAAATTTTCCTTTTACAAGTTATTGAAGCAATTGGAAAGCATGAATTTTGTCATACTGATTTTTAACAGTATTTATTTTTCATAAACATAATTTATAGACTCGCTCACACAGTACTAGGCGTGCGTGATGACCGTATCTAAATTAAGTAAATAATTAACTTTTAAAGTGTAAAATCATATTCATATCATTTTGTATTCCTTTCTATCATCGAAAAATATTTTATTCTTATTGTAATTGATATTTAGTTAATATAAAATAATTCTTATTTTTTTTTCTTTTATTTATTCATCATCTCGTTTTCTTTTTCCGAGATCATCATTATCATCAATATTATTATTTTTAAATACAACAATAGAATTTGATTCAATTCGACTATCTGCTAATAGTTTTTGTAATGCTAATTGTTTATCCTGATCAATATCCATTGAATGTTGATTTTGTTGATTATTTGTTTTCTTTTTTTTACTTTTAAATAATATTTGTGGTGTTAATTGTGTTTGATTTTGTTGAATTAATTGTGAATTAATTGCTAATAATTGTTCAATAGAATAATTAATTAAATATTTTTTACATTGTCTAATACTTCCACCAACATGAAGTGTTTGTATTGAACATTCAATAGGATCATTAAGTATTAATTTTGAAATAAATGTTGCTGTTGTTTGTAACATATGTTTATCATCACGAAGACAACGAACAATAGCAGTATGTGTTGATGGATTATAATAAATAACTGAAAGATTTCGTATAAAACGAGCTACACCAATATCACCATATAATCGAGCAATCATTGTTTCAAATGTTGTATGAATATTTGATGATTTAATAATATTTAATGGTTTTGAATGAAAATGAAATTGAAAAACAAAATAACGACGTTTAACACGAACCATATTTCTATCTCTCTCTTTCTATATATAATCTAGAATAATAAAAAAATTCTAATGATTATCTTTATGTTCTAATCGTTCATATTCGGCTCTAATTTTGGTAATTCTCTCTTTTTCTTTTTCAGGATTTATATAATAAGGTCGTCGAATTGGTTTTCTTATAATACCAGTTTCACGATACTGTTTTCGTTCATCCAAATACATTTGTGTACATTCTTCACGAAAATTTTCATCATGAAACCTTTGGAGAAAAAAAAAGTCAATAAAATAAGTTGGTTCTTGTTTTATTTTCTATTACCATTTTATAAGACAATTATTCATATTTTTAACTTCTTTTCGACATTTTAAAACAGCCCATACACCATGTTGTTCACCACATTTACCAAATTCTACATTTAGGTTTTAAAATGAATTTTTTTTTGTTATTTAATTTCTCTCACCCTCAATTGGTTCTTGACATTTTTCTCGATGAGCTCGATCTCGAATAATACCTGGTATACAAACTTCTATTTCAACTTTACGTAAACTTTTATCATTTGGATCGCCTATAGATAAAATAAAAATATTTTAAATTTCTTCTTATTTTTAATATCAATATCTAACCAACACCATGAGGACCACCTCGACTTTGTCCAACTGATACAAAATTTGTTGAAAATATTTCTGTTTCTTGTTCTGTACTCATATCTGAAATAATTTATATTGTCTTATCACAAGAAGATTCTTTTTTTTTGTTTATTATTTATTTTAAACAAACAACATATACACAAAAATAATTATCACGTTAAAGTTCTTCATGTTTTGATAAATATTGACGAAGAAGAGCCAACATTTCTTTTTTTATTGAATCAGGTACAAGAGCTACAACATATCGAACATTATCAGATTAAATTCTATTTAAAAAAAATTTACCACGGCCTTTTGGCGTTATTTCTTGTACAAGTTCATCAACTGTTATATTTTCTAAACCTTTTTGTTTAACAATATCTAAGAAAATTAATATTAGAATTATTTTTTCTATATTATTCATTAATACCTTTACAATAAGATTTCATTTGATCTCTCCATCCGTATTCCATCAATCGTTGTCTTAAAAGTTGTTTCATTCTATAAATTGAAAAAATGAGATGAAGTTTATAAAGAAATTAAATTTACCGTTCTCGTTCACCACTTTCGATTAGTTTTGCATTTAATGAAGCTCGTATCTGTGCATTTCGATCAGCCATTTTGTTTTTTTTGATAAATAAAATAATCTATAAAAAAAAACGAAAGAAAGAAATAAACTAAACTCATCTCGGTATTGATAGAAAATGTGAATGATGTTCTATTTTTAAGGACAAAGAAAAGATAAATACACGATCAAAGAAAAAGAAAAAATGTCTTTTCAAATCTACGATTGGATTAATAAAATGGTAAACGTGTCCAACTTTGATAACGTTGAAAGAATGGTTTGATATCCCAATTATTTGTTGTCCAGTAATATCGTGGATCCTAACAAGAAATTTATATGTATAGATATTTAAGAAAAACAAATTGAAAATATACATATTTCATAAGACCTAATTGAGTTTTTTGTGCATTAGGTTCAGTCCACCATTCTGAAAGATGAAGAAGACGATTAACATTAAACATGCGTGTCCAAAAATGTTCATCTTGAAGTCTAAAAAAAAGTTAAAAAATAAATTCTTAATACAAAACATATTTAATAACATACTGAGCACGAAATCGTTCTAATTCAACATCAACTGTTAAACGCCAATCAGGAAATTTATTTGTATCATCAAAATTAAGTTGTTCAATATCAAAAACGACCTTGAAAAAATTTTATTTCAATAACATTTATATACATAAAATACATACGTCGTCTAATGTTTTTATTTCATTTTCATTGTATTGAAGAATGTGACAATATGTACTATAAAGATAAAAATCGATTATTGTTTTTTTAATTTTAAATAAAAGAATAATAATAAACCTCATTCTTGGTAACCATTCTTCTTTATACATTCGATCCATTGCTTGAAGTAATTCTAATGAATATACTTTACTTCCCTTTTGATAATCCTATAGAAGAAAATAAAAATAAATTTTTTTTTTAATAATTATAAAATTTACTTTTCCATTTTTTTGTATATCTTCCCAAATAGCATGTGGATCTTTATCAATGAAGATAATAAGACGAGGCATTTTTAAACTATAATCAATTGATACTTTGTATTCCAATAAGAAGTCATAACCTTTTTGTTAAAGAAAATCATTTTATTATTTCAATATACATATATCTTCTTTTATTAAATATCTCTTGGCCAATAAACATTGTCACTTTTATGATCACATGATGAAAACAGAAGAGAAAAAACATCTGACTATAAATAATCGATTTGTTTCTTTATGAAGAAACATTTTCACATGTTTATTCTCTTACTAAACATCTTGAGAAAGAATTTTTTATTTTATTTAATAACTGTTGTCATAGTAAATTCTTCTATTTTATTGAAATAAAAAAAAGAAATTGTTATAGGAAAGAAAAAAATAACAGATTCTTTTTATTTAAATAAATTCATAGAATTAATGATTAAAAAGAATATCAAAATTTTTCTTCTCACTATAAATAGTCATTGACTTATGAGGAATTGTACATTCTATTTCGATTATTAATATAGGAATATATATGCATGAAACATGTTATTGTAAAGAAATGACCCAGAAAAACATTTTGAATATTTTCTATTCTAGTTACTTATGAAAGATATTTCTTCATACTTTGAAAGAAGAATTAAAATATAAGAAGTAAACGTCGACTCTAATTAAAGATACTAGAGACATGAATCAAATTCCTATGAATATGTTACATTATAATAAATAAATTACTCTCATCTCAAACTCCAGACTATTTCCTTGTCTTTGACACATTGGTCGTTTTACATAGCATTGTTGAATACTACAAATAAAAGTCAAAACTTGAAGTTTTCTAGTTCGTTCTCTTCTATTATCACTTTTTCTCAATCAATTTTAGTATGCATTTTATTCATATTTGTCTATTGAATGGATAAACTTACTATCTTGACTAACATAACCAAAATCTCGAAGAATGTTAAGAATAGCATAATAACTCCAATATGATCGATCCATAACAATTCCTTGTCCTATGAATAATAATAAAATAATTCTTTCTTTTATTAATTATTGAATAAAAAATGAATATACCAGTTGAGAACATATGTGATAAACCCATTCTTAATTGATAAGACATTGTTTGTAAAAGTGGTCTTAATAAGCGTACAGATGCATGAGCATTTGGATTTAAATGCCATTCTGCTGGTGATGGCATATGATCTCTTGGTAAACAATAATCATTATGAAATTCCCGTGTATTAACTGTACCAGTTTCATCAACAAAATGCATACGATCAAGATCCGGTTTTGGTACAGACAAGAACCCAATATGATCAGCTAAACGTTTAACAAAATCGGATCGTGGAACACCAAAATTCGATTCAACATGAAAAAATAATGTATTATCATGTATATTTGCTAATGTATAATGACCACCTAAATAATAATGACGAAAATAATCTAAATAAAATCATAAATAATTATTTTGTTTTGTTTTTTTTATCTTTTAAATAAATTACTATAATTTTTATTGACATAATCAAATGGATGTGCTGCTTTTTCTGTATCCTTATATTGCATAGAAAATGTTCGATGATTTTGAGGAATAGAACATGTTGATACAATAACCAAACCCTGTTGTTTATTAGCAAGAAAAATTCGACGAAGCGAAGCAGCAACACCGCTGCTCATCTTTTATTTTATTTTATATATATTCTAAAATATAAAAATTGACAAAAAACATAGAAAATCAATTGAAAAACAACAATTGTTCTTGTTTAAATCTATATATATTATTATTGTTTATTTCGTTCGATATGTTGTTAATAATCATTGGTTATTTATTTGACCATTGAGAATATTTTTCCTCTTCCATAGTCAACTATCGCAAGTCTCTTTTTTTCTGCATACGTATATTTTTATCGATTGTTGGTTGACTCATGTTGTAATATTCCATATTGATTAAATTTCTTCATATCCTACTTCACTGAAACTCCTTAATTCTCGAATATTCTTTTTCGTCATCATTACCAATAAATTGCATGAGATCTTCTTAGAATGTCTAAAGTTTCAGATAAATAAACACATCTTGTTTTTATTTCTTACTCTTAGAAGTAAAATTTATATTTCGAACATGGCTACTGCTGAAACGGATTATTATTGTCATAAATGCCAAGTACACATAGGACCTGTGACGGTAAATTTAATTTTGTTTTTAAAAAAAAATCTTTTTCTAATGAATTTTTTATTTAGAATTTTGAATGTCCACATTGTAAAGAAAGTTTTATAGAAGAAGTTCCTCCTGAACATCCATTATCGTAAGTTTAATATTGAAATAAATAAGAATAAAATTTTTGAAAAATTTATTAATTTTAGTCAATCTCAAACACGTCAGAATAGAAGAACACAATATCACACTTCACTACCAATGAGTAATACAACAATATTTATTGGTGGTGGTGGAAATAATCCAACACACAATACAGCTCATCTAAATGATAACACAGATATAGGAACATTTTTTCAAACAGTTCTTGCACAACTTGCCGGTGGATTAGTTGGTGGTGGTGCATCACAATCTCCATTGTAATTAAATTATGAAAATTTTCAAATAGAATAAACCGATTTCTTTTGTATTTAGTTTCATGCACAATGGTGGTGGAGCAGGACTTCTTGATACGATAAATCTCGATGCATTTCTTACTCAAGTAAAATAATTTTTATCATTTCTTTTTAAAGTATTATATTTCTTTATTTAGTTTCTAAATCAAATGGGAGAAAATGGTGGTCCAGCACCAGCATCTGAAAATCGTATAAATACTATTCCAACAGTGAAAGTTACAGCTGAACAAGCACGTATGTTAAACATATAATATTATTCTATTAATTAAATATATTTCGTAAATAATACTATTAGGTGATAGTTTGCAGTGTGCTATTTGTATGGATGACTTTAAAGAGAATGATGAAGCTAAACGTCTTCCTTGTTCACATCATTTTCACGAAGATTGTATATCACGATGGCTTCGAATGGTAAAATATTCATTTATTTGTTCTAATTTCTAATTTAATATAATGAATTTTTTAGCATGGAACATGTCCAACATGTCGTGTAACATTAGATGGTGATAATACAAGTAATCGTGAATATTATAATCTTTTCTCAAATCAACAACAACAACAATCACCTTCGTGGAATAATAATAATAATAATAATCGTCGAAATGATGGAGATAATAATGGATCTAGTTCGGGTGCTGGATCAACTTTACTTGATTTTGATTAAATTAAAATATTTTTTTTGTGATTTATTATGTATAAAACAAATGTCGCCTTTTTTTCTTCTTCTTCTGATGATCTTTACTTTCGTTTGCGTTTCTTTTTTTCTGCCTTTGTCTTGATTTTTTTTTCTCTGTTGGAAATAAATGAACACATTGTACACAGGTAAAACAAACATTAATAAACTTAATTAGTAAATTATTCAATCTTTAAAAATAATCAAAAAGAATTGCAATCGATAGATTCAATATCTGACTGATATGAATGAGTTATTTGAAGAATCTATGTTAATCTTTAAAGATTTCAAGTATTGATAAAAAGTTATTCATTAACATGACCATATGGAGTACTTAATAAAAAAGACCATTGATTTTTAACAAAATGAAAACATTTATTCAATATAACATTATATTCTTACATATGAATTGATTATTTTATCCTCAGGATAATTCGATTTCTTTAGTTTACTAAAACGTATTCGAAAATTTTTATAATATTTCAAAAGAATTTCTTTGTTTTTGGATTATTTATATAAATTCACAGAATATATGATAACGAGTGGGTCGTAAGTATTTTAGATGAATGCAACAAAATGCTTAAGAAACTAACATTTTTAGTTGTGCCAAAAAATGGGTTGGGTTGACCAATAAATCGTCATTTGCTTCTCCTGTAAGTCCTAATATGAAGGTGCTAATAATAATTAGATATGATAGATGAACCAGTATTTTCACATTGAATGTTGAATCTGAATAGTATACGAAACATATTTTGGTTCAAACTAATATTGTAAGCCTCTTGAATATTCTTTCACTACTCTCAAGTAAAAATAGATACAAAATTTATGTTTAACAAGAGCGCAAAACACCGATTCTTCTCCATTCTATTACATTCATCTAGAATACTTTCGGCTCACCCGTTATACATAGTTTTATTATAAATACATTGTTTATAGTATATGAATTTTTAGTTTGTAAATAATAAAATCTTATATTTCCTTATAAAAATATTTCTTTTTCGTTTTTGAGAATATTAGTAATAAAATGATGTATTCTTGTCCTAACATAGGAGCAATAATCTCCTTGATGTTTTATTGTTAATGTTTTTTTTCTTTAATTAACAGATAATGGACAACAAAAACAAACAACAAGCATTAGAAACTGTTGCTTATCATAATAGTTTTCTTCTTTTTTTTTTGTATTTTCTACTGTTTAGACGAGCACTTCAGGAAATTCAAAGTGAACATCTTTGCCGGTAAGTTTCTTGTAAATTGATTGAAAAGCTGGTACCTAAAATTAAATAATAATAATTTATTTTTTGTAAATATATTTTTGTAAAAAATACTAACCTTATTTTCAACAAGTGTTTGTTGATTTTTATCAAGATGAACTTTGAATAAACGAGATCCATCTAATTTTATGCGAATACGTTTGCCTGTTATTTCAGCTGGATAAACAAGATCATGTAAAATAGCATCATGAACTGCAGTTAATGTTCGGCTAATAAAACAAAATATTAGTTTAGTTTTTTCATTTTATACGAAAAATATCTATTTTTACTTTCGTGGTCGTTTTTGTTTCGATTGTGTTTTCGATTTGCGTGTTGGTTTTGGCAAAATACGACGCTACAAAATAATAGAAAAAGAAATAAATATTTTCTAAATAAAATTGAAAGAACTACGAACTTGTCCAAGAAGAACAACAGTTTGGTTGTATTTCTTTTCAAGTTCAGATACAAGTAATGAATGAACTCGTTGGAAACCTTTTACTTTTGGTACTGGAATATAGATGACAAGAGCTTGTCGTCCATCGCCCAATTCAACTCTCTACAAAAATCAAAAAATATTTATTATAAAATCAAACAAATTTTTTTTGTCAAACCTTGGCTCCAGTGATATAGAGTTCTCGTAATTGACCTTTAAATTGTGCATTACCTTCGAGTTCAGTAAATTGCTAAATAAATAAAACAAAAAAATTTATCGAATATCCAATAGAAAAGTTTATTTTTACTTGTGAAACATCGAGTTCTAATGCAGTTGGTGGTTCACTACCACTTTTCATGATCTTAGTACCGGTACTCATTGTTGACAATTAAAATTGTAGTCAAACAATCTGAAAATAAAAATATCTCGTTAGTATCCTCTCTATCAACTAAATATAAGAATGAATTGAAAAAAAAACACAACAAATGGATCCTCTACATTATTCCATATTTTACCATATTATATTAAATAAACATTGATTTTATTTTCATATATTTTTATTATTTGAATAATTAAATAAAAATATTTTCAATTTGAAATCACCGAGAAAAAGAAATTTTTTTAAATATTAAAATCTATCTGAATGGATTAATTGAATTGACCAATAAAAAATATTCTATTATACTTTAACAGCTGATGAATTTGAAGAAATTTTTAATATCTTTTTATACACAAAAAGAATCTTTTATCGATGGATATGAACGGTGGAAAACCACTCTCACCATGGAAAGTTCCATCACGTATATCATTAAAACGTATTCGTCATAAAATCAATTCAGATTTAACATTACAAACACTTTCATCTGCAACAAATGAGAAAAATTCTCAAAAATTAAATGGAAAACGACAACGTCCCATGATTAATAAATTTGCTTTAGCACGTTCAATATCAACACCAACATCAGATGAAAATGTTACACCAACTATAACAACAACGACATCAGAAAAAAATCTTCATAGTAATAATAATGATGAATATCTTCTTGCTAAACTTCATCAAATTATGCCACCACCATCATTTGTATCAACTGTTTCAACTGATAATCATTTTCATTCGACAATGAAAAGTTTTTCATTTGATGATACATTTAATAATTCTCCAGAATCAAGTAAAATTATTAAAATTTCGTTTTTTTTGGAAATTTTGAATTGATTTTGATTTAGATAAAATATCTGATGAATCTATTTCTTTATTTCCAATTGATTGGTCATTAAAATCATCATGTCGATTTCATTCTTTAAATTCATCAGCATTTTTAAATAATTTTATGAAACTTCGTTCAACGGATGAATCACTTGCATTAGAATATATTTGTTCAAATATAAATCAAGATAATGATAAAGCATTATTTCGTTCATTAACATCATATTGGACTTATCCACATATAGCATGGCTTAAATTATTTCCACGTTCACAACAACAGCAACAACAACAAGTGAATATGAATTTAGCATCATTAGATGAACAATCACAAATAGCTATACAAGATGAATGGAAAGTGGCATTTCAATCACTTTTTCAAGCATTTAGAACAAAATATTCAACATTTTTTTATATGTGTACACATACATTTAATATTTTATTTCGAGAAGATTCTTCATCGCAAATTGTTGCAATTATTTCTCCAACAACAAGTGGATTAAGATCAGCACTTGAACGAGAAGGAATTGAATTTACAATGGCTGAGTAAGTTCAACAGAAATATTCCATTTGATAGTTTTTTGTGACATATACACGAAAGACGGTATCGATAATATTCGTTATTCAAGTCGTTGGACACAGAATATTGATACCTCGACGAGCGTGGTATGTGTATTTACATACTTGAATAAATATTCTTCTGTATAATTACCCTTGAAGTACTATTATATATGTTAGATAAGACATTTTTTAAGTTATTAGAATATTTGTGAAACAATATAGGTCTTTTTTTAGTGGTAGTGATTCATTAAATAATTCAGCAAATAAACCAAATGATGATGGTGAAGAAGATGAGAATGGTGATGAGAATGATGCAACATGTGTTCAATGGTTAGAAGATATTGGTTTATCTGCATCATCTTCGACAAATACAAATAATGAACGACGAGGTGTATCGTCAAAGAAAAAACCTTCAAATGATAAAACACGTTCAACAACAATTCTTATTCGAGATTTATCTTCTGTAAATAGTTTATTTAATTTTCTTCTAAATAAATCTCAACGAACATGTATGGCATTAACTGGACCATTAGCTGGAATACCACCAACATTAATATCACCACGTCCATTTCTTAATTCAACATTAAAATATTTAAATGTTCATTTTCAATCAAATTCAATGGTTACAATTGATGGTGGACCTTTATTACCTGATCGTTTAAAAGGTTTATGGAATCTTCTTACAGATAAATCTCAAGAAATACAAATGGTATGTACAAATGTTGAACGAACATCATCATTAAATTTAGATGGTGAACATGGTCGAACAATCAAACAAATTTCTATAAATGAAAATCGAGATTTACGTGTACAATTTACAACAATTTGATCATTTTTTGTCTTATATTTGATATCTAGTCAACTTAAATAGATTATTTTATTTCGATGTCAGATAGTTTCATATAACAATTTATTATTGATTATTTCTTTAATCGACTTTGTGTCTTTTTTTTGTTCAAAAAATAAATTTAAAGACGATGTTGTCTTTTTTATATTTTGGATTATTTTTTTTTGAAGAAAAATGTCAGTCAAGTAACGATAGTCAAATAAAATAAGTTTTCTTTATAATAACAAACATTCATCTGTCAATGTCAATTGTTAGAAATCCACTTGAGATCGAGGATAGAGAGAAGAGAAAAAATATTTCCATAGAAAAAAAACATTCGAAAAATCATGCTTTATTGATTGTATGAATAAGAAATTAGATTCAACAAAGAGAAAATCAATTTACCAACTTTGAAGAGCGAGAATAGAAAAATGATTCATATGTGAAGTATTTAGAAATTTTTATTCTTAAATAAACAGACAGATCTAATACATTCTAGAAACCAATTTATTAATTATTTTCTAGCTATAGTTAGTTGAAATATTTTTATTTGTGAATTAGTTAATGTCATAACTTTTTTAAATAAAATCTACGACGAATGGATATTTCCTTATAGCTAATAATCATTAGATAAATTTTTGAAATATTTTTAAAGTAAATGAAATTTTTATCAAAAACAATACGTATAAAATGGATTATAAATTCTATAAGAAAAAAAATCGTAAATGCGATAAGGGTAGTGATGGTTTGTTATTTTGATCCTGTAAGAAAATAAAATGATTTTTGTTTTATATTTGTTGTTCTTTTGACCTATAAAGAAAGCCATATATTTTGCAAATCAATTGACATAATCCGAATAAATCAGAGAAAAAAAATATTTGTCGATTGATGGATTAATGTTTTCTTTTTCTTATTTTTCTAAATCCTGTAGATGCCATTGTAGTACAGTATTAAAAACATAACCTCTATTTAATCCAGTAAACAAGATGGCGTCATGTATATTTTATTAGTATTTCTTGTCTTCTCTTCTTATGCTTAATGCCTTTCCCTATGGCGCTTTCGTTCGCGCGCCCCATGATCATTATCGTTCTTCTATTTTTTTTTTCTTTTTTTTCTTCTTTTCTTTTAGTTATATAGTTTTCTTTGCCGATGTTGATGTCAAAACGGAGAGAAGAAGCAAAAAAACTCGACTTTTTTTCTCCTTCTGTTTTTTTTCTTATATAGCTACATATATTCACAAAGAGCAAATAAAAAAGAGAGGGAAAAGAGCGTCTATAAAAATGAGTGTCTGCTAACCATACGACGACGGCCATGACAGTCAGCAGTAGATCGACAACAAACAACAACAACCATTCGAACTAAAATTTTATTCATGTTCTCTTTTGTTTTTATTTATTTTAGTATCTATTGTAAAATAAACAGACCACGAAAAATTAAGTCGTGTAACATCGTCATGTTGGTCTGATTTCCCTCCTTATTTTAATCAATCGTCGAGCAACTGCTAAACAAAAGCAGACTCTTTTAATTAATCTTCTCTGTTTCTTTATAATTTTTACTCTTATTACCATCAATTATGTCGATGTCAATATGGCACGTTCACAAAAATATCATGCAGATAAAATTTATCTAAGTTAAAAGTGAATGTCCAATAAACCAAAGTCGACTAATAATAAAAATAAATATTCGTCAACTGGGTGGCAAGGGCAGTAGTGACCAAAAACAACAAGAGCAGGTTTGTTTATTATTGCGCTTTTATTTTATCATAAAAGAGTCTGCATTACATCATCTATATATATATATATATTTTCGTTTTTCTTCTTCTCTACAGGTATTAGTAATCAGTGGTTGTAAACAAATTCCTCTGTATAAATTTTTTCAACATAACAATGGTATTTGTCGTTGTGGGTCTTCGAACAGCTGGACAAACAATAAATACTTTAACATCATCCCTCGAACGATTATGCGACAAAGAGCAACGAACATGGAAAGATCGAATCTTCAATCAGATGAGATTAGTAAGTTTACCTTTTGCTTTTCCTGTCATAAAAAACATATGATAATGAAGGAAGAAAAAAATATTTTTTGTTTTTATGTTATTTTGCATCTTATAACGAATACTTTGGCCTGCTGTTTTACATATGTAGCATAACACTATCTTAATGACGACAATCATGATAGTTAAAAGGCCAACATAACATTTTTTCTTTCTTTTTTATCAAGAAGAAGAGACAAAAATAGATAAGAATAATCAATGTTCTATTTACAACTCTTCTAGAGACATGAGAAAGAATAAGAATAGACAATGTTGTTTACAAAAGGCGGATAAATATTCTTTCTTTCTTCCTTTCAATATAATCACTGTCCATCAATTTATTTCTCCTGAGGGTTATAGACAAACTAAGTCGATAGTTATCGATATCTTTTTCTTTCTTTCTTCATTCTATTGAATCATGTATAAACATTGATAAAAACAAATTTGCTTCAAGGTTTATATTATGGATAATTTTGTTTGTAACTCAATATACTTTTGATTCATGTTTTTTCCTTTTCGTTAAAATAACTAATTAATTTTGAATTTTAATGTAAAATATTTTTATTCTAAGGACGAAGTAAATAGTTCTCAACGTAATCATGCATCATCATGGCTTCGCAAAGTGGCCGTATCGCTCCATTTTGGTATCGATACTTATGCACTTAGTGTTGATTTACTTGATCGATTTTTGGCTACACTTAAAGTATGTTTTCAAAAGGAATATTTGGTTTTTTGTTAATATAAAAAAAACTCAAAAATTGTATTTTCCTAGGTTCGTCCTAAATTTCTCGAATGTTTAGCAGTCGGTTGTTTATATATAGCAGCAAAATGTAAAGAAGAAGATGATACAATTCCTATAACACCTGAATTTGTTATCGATTGTAATGCAAGTTGTTCAGCAAATGAACTTCTTCGTATGGAAAGATTAATATTAGAAAAATTTAATTGGTTTGCTGATTTTGTTACATCAGTAGATTTCTTACAAATTGTAAGTAGACGAAAACAAAAATGTTTGTTTTTGTTTTTGTTTTTCTTTTCATAAAAATATTTACTCTTTTTCTTTCCTAGTACTTTGCACTTTTATTGCTTAAATCCGGTAGTCAACATGAAGGAGATGAAAACGAAAAGGCTTTAGTTGAAAAATATGCTGATTTAGAATTAAAATTAGCTTCATGCTTACAACATCATCGTTTAGCATCATTTAAACCAAGAATTCTTGCATTAGCTCTTATTAGTTTAGAATTAGAAAAACAACAAGCACAAGAACCTGAAGTTAATATTGATTGGCTTGCTTCGATTAGTTATTTACAACAATTAGCTAAAGTAAATATAAATAGAAAATAAAAGAGAATTTTTCTTTTAAAAAAGAAAAAAAATATCTTATTAAGGTTGAAAGTGATGCGTTATTATCATGTCGGGATTTGATTGTTCGTCTATCACCATCATACAAGGTTGTTCGATTGGAATTAGCTGATCTTGCTTTTATTTCCCGTGCTTATAATCATTCAAGTTCATTAAAACCATTGATTAGTTTACCTGGGCGACCAACCTATGCCGATGTTGTTTGTGGTCGCGTTGCCTCTGCTGCCCAATAAGTGTGTGTCCGTGTGTGTGTGTGCGTGTGTGTCCTTTTTATTTTCTTTTAAAACCGTTTCATGTGAGCATTGAGAACAAACTGGAAAATATGAAGATGGTTAAGTTAACAAAAAAAAAATAACCAAAAATCAACGTTTTAACTTCTTTTTCTTTTCTCTTTTACCTTTTCTTTATTATTTTCTTTTTTGCTTAATCCATAATTGACGTCGCATGTCTGATATTACCATGTATGTACACATATAAATCTATTCTCCATCTAATTTATTTCTAACTCATTTTTGATACAGTTGCTGAGAGAAAACAAAACATCTTGTAAATTTAAAAAAAAAGAATAAGAGAATGCATTCCATCTTGTATCGATCAGCAAGTAAGTGTGACGCAATCACAGTAGAACTAAACGAAACTACATAGGAGAATGGATTTAATTCATTTATCTCTATTTTATCGTGTCTACTGTCTTATACATATATATTATTAACACATAAAAATATACCTTTATTTTTTTGTTTTTTTCACGCCATGTATAGAAATCATTTCGTTGTATTTATTATCCTCTATATTTCTTATGCTTTTAGTATGTAAATAGATAAGATCTCATTATAACACAGAAACATTTATCTATTGTTCACTTTTCTTAACTTTTATTTTATTGTAATATTTATCTTAGAAATTTCCTGTCCTATACGTCCTCTCCTTTTTTTTATCCTTTTTCTCTCTATCTCTCTCTTTCTCCATTTATTTGTCTCGAATTGCTATTAAAACCTCTTGTGTACAAAGACATACAAAAGAAAAACGAAACAAAAATAAATAAATATATATATATGTAGAAATACGAAAACAATGCTCTTTATTATTATGATATATATATATAAAAAAATCACAGGTATTCAAATGCTAATGAAACGGTGAGATAATGTATCATTATTGACTTTGATGGGTTTATGAAGAGAAACAAGGTTAATTTTAGTCTACAAGGCATATAAAAAAAAGACAAATGTACGTGAGAAAAAAAACGAGATAAAAGGTGAATGTAAGCAAAAAAAGAAAAAAAGAAAATACCATTACATTGACAAGCAAGGATGAAATTGAAACCATTTATCAATAAAACAACATATGTCACGCCTATTGTATGCACTTTTTACTTAATGGGTTCTAATTTTATACCTTGTTCATGATAATCTTTATATAAGCACGAGACTATTGTGCTTGTTAATTCAGTTACCTCGAAGAAAAGAATGATTACATGTCAAGTGACAATCAAGAATTTTATTATTATACGGAATAAAACTGATTATATCGAATGAGTTAATTTAAAGAAATAGTCTATCAAGTATTTTCAAGGTAAAACTATTAACTTCAGTAAAACACTCATTATGTACTCGATTGTCATTTTTTTTATTGCAAATATTTGAACTGTTCCTTGTAAAATGTGAAATATGTAATATATTATTTACGAATTGGTTTTATTCTCTATGTAATAACTTGTTATCTGATTTAAATTCATCATTATCAATTCATTAATCGAAAATATTATATTTCTCATCTTCTTATCGTGTCGTTGATTAGATATTCAGGGTTTTTTCTATTTGCAAGAAGAAATTATCTCAAATTATTGTAAATCCTGTTGATTTATTTAATATAGATAAGCTTTACACGAGTATATTATCCAAACCGCAAAGAAAAATAATACTTGAAGCTGATTGGTTGATTATATTTCAGATGTTTATCAAAAGGTAAATAAATATCAAAATGATGGTTAGTTTTATTCGAAAAAAAACCTTCGATATAATTAAAATCATCAACAAGCCGACTGAGTATTTATTTTTATCTCAAAAAAATATTTTGAAAAATATTTTTATCAACATAAGAATGACATGACATTTATAAAAATTATTCTGACAGTAATATGATAGAATATTCCCTAATGACAATATTCTCTATAACACAGGTCAAAAAAACATACAGATATAAGCGATATATTCTTGAAAAGTGTATACATTAACTGAAAGAATTGTTTCGCTTTCATATCGGCCTTATGGATCACAACAAACCAATTGTATATATATACCAACTATATTTTGTTTCGTCAATGAATAGCCAATATCAGCAATAGTATATAGTCTTTTAATAGAAATATGTTTTAAATCATCACCAGATGATTCAAGTGCTGTTGTTGAATCATATACACCATTTATTGCATCACCACCAAATAATACCTATTGCTTTTTTCTACTGTTCATCGATCTGATCATGTTATTATTTATTTTATCAAATATATCAATATTATATGATTAATACTTATTTACCAATACTTCATTTTATATATTTAGATTGTTATGAATTATTCAATATTTAATTAAATTAAAATCTATTTCTACAATACTAGATAAATAGTTATCAAAATAAGAATCGAAAGTCTATTGATAATAACTGCATAAATAACAACAAAGACTAAAGATATATTTATAAGAGCTCTGATTAGTATGCATCCAATCATGAGGAAAATATCCGACGGCCATTGTGTGCTAAGAATTAATGAAAATACTACGATCAATATGTCTATGTTGACGTTTTGTAACGATAAACTTTTTCAATTTTCTGTTTTCTACAGAGATTTTATCGATATTTATCTGATACATAAGTCAATGTTTCCTCGTGTTTTGTTATCAGATATATCAAGGGAAGAAATCGAGACTTTGGAAGTGAGTGATCCACTTATCAGATACAACCTCTAGATCCTTGTGTTACTTTCCTAGTATTTTTCAGCGGTATTCGATCAGAATCATCGTCCTACGTAGTACATCAGAATAGTGTAGCCTTGATTTTTCTGTCTTGAAATACATTGATTTCATTAGATCTCTTTAAAATATTGTAGTCTTTCCAGTACATCTATCAAGTACAGTAAAAATTACAAGAACACTTATTGATTTATAAAAAGCGACGAATATGCATAATTCAACATATTAATAATAAACTTTTAAACTGTTCATTTTAAGTTCAATGAAATCCTTAAATCATCTAAATGTATGTTCATAACAATTCCAGCATGTTACCAGAAATTGATTCATCAGTACAGTTGCATCATTTATTCATTATATGTAACCATTTGTTAAGAATGAAGACAATGAATGACAACAGATTGATTCTATCAACAACAAAAATAATAAATATAGACGGAATATTATGTAAACATGGATAATGTTTTCTCAGAATAGAAATCATACATGAAGCAGTTCCTAATAGAGATATGAACTAATAAACAATTTTATTTACGCATAGGATAAAAAATGATATTAATTCATATTTGTTAAATTTTATAATATTATTCAAATTTATAATAGATGATTACTGAAATGCATTTTATTTTCTTCATTGTTTTTCATTGATCATAAAGCATGAAAGTTTTTCGTATTAAATTAATATCAATTATTTACTATCGAATAATGATAGTACATCATAAATAAGTTATTGAAAATTAATTTTGAAATGAAGTGACATCTTTCTTCTATGGTTAGTAACTTCCAATATACTATCTTCTAGTTTTTACTCAAACTATAATATGAAAATGAATGAAAATATAACTAATTCAAGAAAATGCTTGGGACTTTTTTTCCTAAGCGATCTGTCTCATCCAGTCAACTATTTACATTCATAACGAACAGTATTCGTCATTCTAGTACAAGTTCAACTAGTAATAAAAAACCGGATGAAGATATCGAACATCGTCATCGATTAGCAACAACAAAGAAAATGCGTCTATTAGGTTTACAAAGTAATCAATCTCATAAAGCACTTTCAATCTATGATAATTATGTTTATCAACAAAAGAAAACACCTGATTTACGAATGTTTGCAGTTGCTATTAATTGTGCAACGATTGCTCAAAATTTATCCAAAGGTCGTGAAATTCATCAATATATCCAAGAAAATTGTCCACATCTAAAAGATGATCTCATGTTAAAACAACAACTTCGTTATTTTTATATTAAATGTAATGATCAAATATCTGCTGATAAACTCTTTCAACAACAAAATACAGATCTAAATAAACATGAAAAAACAAATAACTAATATTTTTTTTATTTTCATAGTTAAAATAAACTAATATTGAAATGTTTATTATCAATATACTTTATTCTTTTTTTTTATAAAACTAACTATTAAGGTACACATTGACATATCAAGAATATTTTCTTTCTTTTGCTGTTTGATGATTTATTCAGAGGCATATTATTTACAATGCAATACTCTCGAAGCTAATCATACATACGCAATTTATGAAAAGTAGGGCATCAAATATCTTTTTTTTTATAGGTGTCATTAAACGAAGAATAAGATATATATTTATGATATTTTCATTATAGTAATTATTTTCAGTAGATTGTATCAATAAACAATGATAGACGTAGTTCTTCTTGCTGTTGGCTTTGGTGTAGTAACTGTTATGGTCAGTGCCATATGTCTAATAGGATATATATGTATTCCTTCAACTCCATTATCAACAGATACATCTTCTATAAATAAAGAAGAAGAATATTATCAATATTTGAAACGTCATAATCAACAGCTATATAGGTACAAAAGCTTCTATTATTCTAATTATTGAATTTTATATCAAGCTCACCGATCGAAATAATGTACATTCATCAACATATTTATTATATAATTTTTTTTCATATATTTGTTCTTTTATTTTAATTATTTTACATTACATTCAGAAGTATATTAAGTGATATTCTTTTCTTGTAATATCATACAGTTAAATATGTTCAAGAAAGTGATTCATACGTTTTTATTTTGAACTGAATGGCTTGCATGATGAACTGTGTTTCATAAGTATAGGTAAATGCATAAATCATCTAATACTAATCAATCTACTGAACTGTCACTACAATAAATCATTCTGATTAAATTTTCGTTACAAAAAAAACGAAAACTATTTCGTATCATTGACGATCAGTTGATTACGTGCATATTCTATTTATTATGCTTTTAATATTATTGAGATTATCATAAAAATGATTTGCATACAGTTGTTTGTCAATTTACTTTTCGATTCTACAGGATATTTCAAACATATGAACAATTAACGAACAAAATTTAAGCTTTATACATAATATCAGTGAAATAATATGTTTATAGATAAATGATTGAATCGCATGTTCTATCTAAGTATAATATATGAATAAATAAGATATTTTTGTTTTTCTTTCATGTCATTGTAGAATCATGTATAATTGTTCTCTTTTTTCACTCTGTACAAAATATTATCAAAAAAAAAAAGAAAGGAAAAGCACAATACACCTCGATGAGTTAAATTGAAGAAAAAGATGTTTAAAATACACACACACATACACTTGTTTCAGAGAAATCTAATACACATAAAGAAGAAGAAGAAGAAGAAGAAGAAAGAAGGATTTATGACTAGTCAATATATATATATATATGTATATATGTATAGAAGAGAAGAATAAAACACTAAAGGGACGGACAAAATAGCACCAAGTTCAATAGATAAATAACCATATAAATACATTAGCTTGATGACATAGTTGGTTTCCATGGTTTAACACGAACTCGATAGAATTTTGTACTTAATGGTACATTAAAACGATTATTTGGTTTTTTAGCTTGACAATATTCTTTATCAGTAACTTGACCAAGTAATGGTGTTGTTGATAGATTTAATCCATTTATTCCAAACATTGTTGAATTCATCATAGATGTATTTATAAGTGTTGGAATATTTGTTGAACTATTTCCATTATCACCAGAAGTTGAATCCATACCACTTGATGATGCAGCTGTTGTTGTTGTTGTTGTTGTCGTATTGATTTGTTGTTGTTGAATTAAATTTTGTCTTTGTTGAATATTAAATGATTCATAACAATCAGAATGTATAAAATGAAGTGTTGGTAAATGAGTATAAATCATATAATGTTGATATGTTTGATCAAAATAAATAATAACATGATCAGATCGATTAACAGTAAAAAAAGCAATAGGTGTTGCTTGTGGTGATGAATTTGTTGATAGACGTGATATATTTGATATTGATTGTGATGAATTACTAATTGAAGAAATAGGAAGAGATGCTTGGGGTGATAATGGATGCATTAAATTATTTGGTGGTGATGCAGCAAATGGTGTATATAATTCAACAGCAGCACTTGAATCACCTGGTGATGATTTAAAACATGTTTCCATTAAAAGACTATTTACTGTTGCTGATATTGGTTGTTCACTAAAAGAAAAATATATATATCAAATGTTAAATAAATAAAAATAATAATAATTACGTTTTAGGTGATGATGCCGCATTTCCAGCAGCTAACATACTCTGAACAATGAAGGTACTTGGCATTGAAATAGGTTCACTACGTTTAAGAAATGCTTGTCTAGTTGTTGTTGTTGTCGTTGTTGTTGGTGTTGTTGGTGTTGTTGATATTGTTTCATCGGGTGTATTATCTTCATCATCTTTATTTAATTGTTGTTCATCATCAGTTGTTGATGATGTAATCATTGAACTAGTAACAGATGGAAGTAAAGGTGGTGGTGTTGATGATAATGTATAAAAATTTTGTAATTTTTTAATACATTCTTTTAATTTAAGAATTTTAATACGTTTATCAGCTAATTGTTGTTCTAATTGTACAATTTGTTTCTTTGGTCCACTTGTTGCATTTTGTACCGCACGTTGTATAGCTAAATTAAATTGTTTTTGTTGATCTTTTGTTGTTAAACGACGCATACTTGTTTCATCATTATGATCATCATCAGATGTTTGAGTAAATTGTTCATTAAATAATATTTGTATTGTTTCTGTTGATTGATCTTGATTATTTAATAAATTCATCACACTTGTTTGTTTATCTAATGTTTGATATTCATCTGTTTGTATTTCAATTGTTGTTGTTAGAATTTGTTTTTTTTCTTGTTCAGATTTCATTTGATTAAGCGTATCTTGATGTTCACTACGAACTTTTTCTAATTCAAATTCAAAATCTGATTGTAATGCTTTAACTATTTGTGATGTTTCAATATCAGATGTACGACGAAATTCATCAAAATTTGTTTCTAATGTTGAATATTTTATTGTTAATTCTTGTTTTAATTGTTCACTTATTTCATATTGCATCTAAAATAACAAAATTTAATTTAAAACAAAAAAAGAAAGAATCGTAGGGAAATAATTACTTTCAATGTTTCATTATCTTGAATATGATTATTAATTTCTGATTGTAATAATTCAATTTGTTTTTGATGTTCATGATTTGATTGTTGAAGACTTGTTATAACTTTTGAAATTGTTTCATGATAATTTAATATTAAATCATGCTGAATAGTTTTAGTTTGTTCACATTGATTTTTTAATAAATGAAATTCATTGATAATAGATTGTGTATATTCATTATCTGTTTGTTGAGATACACAAGGACGTTGTGGAGGTGAAACAGCCATTTCAGTTGATGTATAAACTGCTTCAAGACTACATTGAATATAATCATCTTCTTCTTCATTATTACTTGTTGTATTTGTTGTTACACTTATTGTTGATGGGGATGTTTCTTGAATATCTGAGGAAGATTTTGTCATTGAACTATTTTCTATAAAAAACAAAAAAATCAAGATTTTTTATTTTTGATAATAAAATATCAGCTTAAATCTTGGTTTTTTTACTTATCGAAATTCTAATTTTATATTCTAATTCATTTAAGTATTTCTTTTTAAAAAAATGTTTCATTGATCTAACCTTTTTCTGAAGATATTTCATCATTATTTTGTTCATTTTCAATATTTGATTGTTCTTCATCTGTTTGTGGAAGGAAATTATTTTGTACAGTTTGTTCTGATAATGTTTGTGTCATAACTTGTTCACCAGGTGATTCAACATCAGATGATGATTGAGAACGAACAACTGTTGATCGACTACTACTATTTGTTGGTGATGGTAATTGTTTTGGTGTATCTTCATGAACGATTGTTGTTGTTAATGGAATAAATACTGAAAGTGGTGTCGTTATCAATGGATGTTTTTCTTCATGAAATGTTTGAGTACAACGAATCAGTGAAGCAAGATTTATTGAAGGATCAATCATTGTTGTTTCACTAATTAATAAAAAATAAATTCATTGGAATTCAATCTCAGCATAATTAAAAAGATCGATTATTAATCAAACTGCAGTTTCACTTTGGAGAATATATTGCCTTTTTTTCTGTAAATCTCGTTAAGTCAATGTTTTTCTTATTTGATATGATGTGTTCATAATTATATGAGAAAACTATCGAGAAGATACTCATGATGGAATAAATATGAAAATATGTATTCCTACAGGATTATAGTATAAATAATAAAATACCTTGTCTGTTGTTTAACTTCAGGAAATCTATCAAATATCTGATCAACTTCAGCTAAAGTTATATCAGGTAAGTTTGTATCCAATAATAATAATGGTTCTTTCTATAAATTATAAACACAAAAACATTCATTGCATAGGCAAAAATCGTATTAAATATATATCTTACAATAAAAAATGATGGTAAGACTTTAAGAGTTGGTAATAAATTAAAAAGAAAATGTGGTTCTAAAAGAAAAAAAACAATAATGAATTTTCTAAAGAATAAAATAGAATTTTTTTTAATATCATACCATACTGCTTAATAAACTGTTCTCGTTTGGATACTTCATCATTATGAACATTTTTTGATTTATGATGAATTGTTTCGGAAAACTATTCAAAAAGAAAATAAATTTTTTTCTAAATAAAATAATAAAAATAACAAACTTGATTAAAAATATTGGAATATTGTTTTCGTCTAACACATTCATTTAAAAATGAATAATAAAGATTTGGTGCTTGATTAAGTTGATATAAAAATGACATCGTTTTTTTTGTTCGATTTAATTTATGAATATATAATGATTGTTTTGCATCATAATCAACTAAATGTCGTTGAAGAAGCATCATATTTCTAAAAAAAAAAGAAATTTATTATAAATTAAAACTAAATTATTGATCATACTTAAATCTTCGATGTAATTGATCGATAATATCTTGTTTAGATTTTCGAACTCTTTTTTCTATTTCAATTAATTTATTATGTCGTTTTGCAATTTCACTTAAATTTTGTGAATGAATTCCAGATATATCTTTTATTAAAGCAAAATCTCTTTGATTACCAACATTTGAACTAAATCTTTGTCGTTGACTAACAAGATACTAATAGAAAAAACAAATTAATTTATATAAAAACTTCTTCTTGTTGTTATCTTTAAATATACCTCAGCACAATCTTTTTGTTCATGTTGAAACTGTTTTGCACCTGTTAATTCATTTTGTAAGAGTGCAAATCGTTCTTCTATACCAATCATATGTTTTAATTCATGATTGGAGATTTTCTTGGATAAATCATCAATTTCATTATTCATTTTAGATAAAAGTTCATCTGTACACTAGAAAAATAATTGATTTTACATAAAAATAAAGAAATTTAGAAACAAGATTTTATTACTTACTTCATCAATAATATTTGTACATCCACTGATAATATCATCGACATTCATATTAGCTAACTAAGAAAATAAAAGAAATAGTTAGTTCAGTTTTAGTCAGATTGATCGTTTGCTAGTTTATGTCATATCCATTTTGCTGATTACAACCCAAATAAATACTTTCAAAGTTTTATTTCAAATCATCTTGTATCAAAATTAAATTTCACATGAGTCTCTTTATGACACGTAAAACAAAATATTAAATCTGGTAAGCACTAGAATATAAGTTGTTTTATGTTTCCTTATTGACAGGTCTATATTTTTCATAATTAATCATAAACAAATCTTTTTTGTACATCCATTATTCTTATTATATGAAAGATTGTCTCTACGATAGAATATACATTGCATTAATTTATAGAATAAATATTCCTAATAGTAAACAAAAGATATTTTATCAAGGACACTGTAGAATAATTATATAGTTTTGCAATTCATAGGATTTATTCCATATAAATTTATTAGAATATTCTTTTCGTTTTATAAAACTTTTTCTTCCTTAAAAAATACGTAATAGACGAAACAAAAACATGTGAAAGTAAATATTAAACATGCACTTTACTATTGAAATAAACTTCTTACACTATGATTGTTATCATAGAGAAATATGAATCATCAACACGGTAATTTCATTATTAGATGATGAAATAAGTAAAAGATGATTTATACTCGACTTAATCGTTAATATTGATATATGAAATGAAATAGAAACTAACCTGAGCAGTAATCCATTCAAATAAAGACATATCTCCTGTAATTTGAATATCATTCTCATTTTGTGTTAATAAATTTGTACTTGTTGTTGCTGCTAAACTAATTGACGAGGATGATGTTGATGATGATACAGTTGATTTATGATAGATTAAATTTGAATTTTCTATTAAAGATATTAATTTATTTGGAAGTTTTAATTGATGTAGAATTTCAATTGAATGTGGTAAACTAAAAAAAGAAAAGAAAATTTAATATTTTATTATATTAAATTGTAAAAACAAACTTTTGAAATAGTTCTAAATATGATGATCTTTCAGATAAATAATTTTGATATGAACGATCAAATGAATTTCGATTAAGTAAAAAACTCCTACAAAAAAAAGCAAATTTTTAATAATTAATAATATATATATATATAAACATACGAAAGTGTATCTTCAATATTAGCAATAACTGCCATCCATCCTTGATATTGCGCTTGTTGATCACGAATAAATCGTTCACAATTTTCAACTATTTTTTGTGCATATCTGTTATAAGTCTAATAGGAAAAAGAAGATGAAATTTAGAAAAAAATATCTTTTTCTTTCTTGACTAACTTGTGCAGTATCAGCCCGTTGAACAATTGTTTCATATGTAGATGGCATAGCTAACCATTTTTCAACAGTTACATTATCCAATATTGATATACTATTAGATGTTAATGGTAATTGCAATGGACGTGGTCGTTCTAAATGTGATTTATCCAAAAGATATATTGGATTTTCTTCCTAATAAAATAAAAGATTTAAATTTAAATGAAACGAACTATATATTTAAACTAACTGTTCCAGCACATGTTTCACGTGTTTTCATACAAACTTGTACAGCATCATCATCTAATAATTCCCCGCCACTTATAATTAAAATTTGTTTTGATGGTGCTATTGCATGTTCACGTTCAATAGTTGATTTCAATGTTTTTACACTAAATAATAAAATTAGAATAAAATAAAATAAAGAAAATTGATTTGACATACTCTTGAAATGCTAAATCAGTTTCAAATGTATAAGTTTCGCCAATATCTACTCGAAATACATAGAGCATTTTTTTTCTTTTTTATTAACAAATATCACTATGTAAATTCATTTAATAAAAGCAAGTAGAAAATCTATAAGAAATAAAAAAATAAATAATCCTTGATTTTCATCGTAAGTATATAAAATAAAAGTGAACTGACAAGTATCTTTCAAGGCCAAAAGATTTCTGATTAAAATAATAAATAGGGAAGAAAAAACAGATGACAGATAATGATAAAAAAAGAAATGAAGAAGAAGAAGTTTTACTTCTATGTTTACTTTTCTTTTACATTCATCATAAAAATGAAAGAAGAAAGTATAATTGGACTTCGATTAATCACCAATAGTTGATTTAGTTAGAAAGAAATAAGAACGTAGGCGCCATCTGATGATCTTATCATATATATATATAGCAGTATTTCATCATGTCATTTTAAATTGCATCGTAGTAAAAGAAGAAAAAAAAATATATATAAATGCTTGCGTCACTTTTTTTTGTGCTTTCTTTTGACTTATGCAATGAAAAACACACACTGTCATGATGAATATATTCGTTCCTATTAACATGTGATACAACCACGCGTGATATATTGTTTTTTTCCTGGGATTTTACGTTTATATTTTAATATAAAGGAAGAAAAATCAATTGAAATTTTTATCCCTTGATTTGTAAAATAAATAATAGATTATTTCAAGGGTTATGTTGGAATTTACACTTGATACATAGTGATGATGATAAATGAAAAAGAAAGATATTTTTATTTCAAAATTGTGACGTGTAATAAGAAAAAGAATAAAGTATTGATAAACTTTATAAACAAGACAAATATATCTTGTCTTTTTTTTTTCTTCTCCTTCTTATCTATCATTGACTGATTATCAATTAAAGTGACATTTGAATGTCATAATAAATTTATCTTTCTATCTTCTCATAGAGTTTATTCGTATTACGTTCTATTTGTATTGAACAAAATTTTATTAAGTTCATAGAAGATATAATCGAAAGAATAGTGTAAATACATATGTTCGTGAAATTAATTCCATTAAAAAATGTATACAAACCTTGAAAGAGTAAAATTCAGTCAATAGCCTTGTTTTTATTTTAAGAAATTATTTTCCATATATGACATTGAACTGAATTATTCGATATTTTTTGATAGTTAAATATATATTTTTATTTTGATTAACCTTTTAACTAATTATTATCAATGTATATATATATAAAGGTTAACATTGAATGTCAGTATATAAATAATCAAATGATTATGATATCTCGAAGGTATGTTACGACTAGATATCTTATGTTCAAAGATCATACTGAATTGAAAGATAATAAATAATCCGATTGATATTATCAAACAAATGACCAATATTTATTTAAATAAATTTCATAGAAGTTCAGTAGAATTCGTTCAGATTTTATTTATGTGATAAAATTAAAATAGTCAATAGTCTTTACATATACTTTTGTATATCGTCGTGAACATAATTTATAGTTAGTTCCAAAACTAATATGATAAAACAAAGAGATATTGATTACTGCAAAGAATACCTCAACACATTCTAAATGTGAACATTGAATATATGGATCAAATTAAATAGTATATCACATTTCAAATACACGTAATCTTATTTCTAAAATTCAACCAATAGAAACAATCGTTAGATATATATATACAATTGATCATTTTAAAAAAAGTTAATGGAAAAATAATTAAATCAGTTAATTTGAATAAGAATAAAAATCATTGATAAATTATTCATAAATCATCATGGTCAAATATAGTTTATATTATATCAGCATTCTCTTTATTTATCAGACTTGATTTTCTTCCTTATATATAAAGTTAATGAATTAATGCGTATATAAGAACCAAGTTTCTTTTTAATATTTATCTTCTTGTAGAACTTGTTAAGTTCTATTGAATCATATTAAAAAAATTCAGCAAATAATATTTTATTCTAAAAACGGTTTCTTATGAGAAAGAAGAAAGTCCTACAAAGATCCGATATATATACATTTTATCGCATTGTCTAATCATAAATATGTACGAAAAAGTAAGAGTTCATTCACAACAACAACAACAACAACAACAATATAAAATAAACAAATGTGAAGTAGAATCCAAGGCAGGAAATAATAAAGAAAAGGATAAGCTCTCACAAGTTTGACTTCTCAAAATGTATGATTCTTTATGAAGTGTTTGATTTCAAATTACCGGTAAAATATTTTATATAAATCAGAGTGCAAAATCGAACCAAAGCCGATTCGTATTCGCACTCTGATTTGAATAAACATCATAGTTTAACTCTAAAGTTATTTAAAATATTATCGTAACATAAATCATGCGATTCAATTCAAATCCTTGTTGATGAATAAATATTAATTCTTGAATTTATTCATATATATAGAATTTATTTACAATATCTTTAACTTGTTGTGTTCGTAAGATGTATTCAATAAATAAGTTTCAATATCTTACAAACATGATTTCTCGTGATAAACAAGGATTTTCAACAGATGTCCAAGTTATAATTATGATTATATTTAAAGTGATACTTACTTTGATTAATAAATGTATTGAATATTTTATCAGATTTACTATTATCAGACATTCTTTTAACTTAAGAACTAAATATTTCTTGTTCGAACTGACTGTTTTGATAACATTTAGTGTGGTTTTTGTTACTTTATTTGAATTTTAAACAAAAGAAAATGAAAAGGAAAAATTTGTTTATGATTTTATTTTCTATATACAATTTGCGAGATTATAATAGTTCCAGATAAAATAAACTGACGTTGCTTGAATAAATATGAGACTAGTCTTGAGAGAAAAAAATGTATCATCATCACAAGAAGCAAAAAAAACGAAAAAAATGAATATGGATAGCTAGACTACATAAGTACGAAAAATGAATGTAATGAATTGTTTATTTAAAGATCAGCATTTCTCTTTGCTTTTTGTGCTTTTTCGCTTGTTTCTTCAGCTGTTTCTTTAGCTTTCTTTGATGCTTGTTTTTTTGTTTCATGTGCATATTCTTTTGTTGATTCAAATGCATTTTCACCTAGAATTAAATTCATAATATAATAAATAAAAAATTAAAATAAATATATACCAGCATGACGACCAGCTTTCAAAGCTTCATTAGCTGGAAAAGAAAATAAGAATATATTAAAACAACAAATTTAAAATAAAATAATCAAACCTTTATCTCGAGTTAATTCAAGAGTTTGTTCAGCTAAATTATAAAAGAAAGATGAATACGAAATAAATATAGATATGAAATTATTTACGTAATTGTTTAGCTTTCTTTACACCATCAGCGCCTAATTCAAGTGCAGCTTCATATGCTTCGGCACCTAAAACATTTTAAAAAATAATAGTTTAGAGAAGTTGAAATAAAAGAAGTTAATTTACCTGATTTTTTAGCAGAATTAAGTGCATCATTAGCTATAAACAGAAGAAATAATCTTATCATCATTTACAATAGAAGTTGATCTATTACCTTTATCTTTTCCAACTTCAAAAGCTTGTTCACCTAATTTTTGACCTTGTTTCATACCTTCTTGAGCATATTCTTGTCCGGTTTTAGCTGCATCATTAGCAAAGTTTTGAGCTAGATTAAAAAAGAAAAAAGTATGATTTCATATTCAATGGCATATTTCAATTACCTGAAGCTTTGACATCTTCAGCAACTTTAGCTAATTTTTCTTTAGCTAAAATATGAAATAAATATTTATATAATTCATATTTATATCACTTACCAACATCACCATATTCATCAGCAAGTTTGCCTAAAATATAGAAGAATTTGTTTAGAAAAAAAGGAAAATATAATAATAAAAGTCTTACTTCCAGCTTTGTAAGCTTCATTAGCTTTATCTTTTAAATATTCGGCACCTTCAGCAACTTTTGGTTGAGTAGCATCATATACATCTTTTACCTATAAAGATAGATATACATTGAACAGATTATTAGAAAAAGAAAAATAAGTATAACATACTTTTTCAACAACTTTATCTTTTAAATCAGTAGCTGCAGCAGCAGCGGCAGCAGCAGCCTGTTCAGCGGCAGCAGTAGCTTGTTCAGTTGCTGACTTTTGTTTGGCTAATGTAGCCGAGATAAAAAGAGCGAGACAAATAATTGATAAAAATTTGTTCATTGTTAGATTTTTTCTTGAGTCAATTGGTTAATTTTACGATAATTAATCTAAAAGAAAATTGCGCATTTACTAACAAGAAAAAAGTGTTCACATATTAGAATAAAACGTATAATATATGAAGTAGAAACGAAAATGAAAGAAATCGTTCTCGTTATCACATGTAACTCAGCAAAAATCCAAACGTGACTTATTATACGTAGTTGTCGTTGTTGTCAAATGGACCAACTAACCCTAGTGATGCGTTACACCAATAAAACGTATCTATATTTATAGATGGCGTATCTAATATTTTTTGTATAAACTAAATGTATTATTCAGTTTTTAACTAGTACCTATTATTGAAATTTTCAAATCAAAATAGAATCGATTTACAATTATTCTGTTGTCATGGAATGAATCTAAGTATTGTCGTATTGATTTTATCGCCTAGCATTTCTTATTACTTTATAGATTGAAAACAAAATGAAAGATCACACTAGTCATCATATTTAAGATGTATTCTATTTTATTAAAGAGTCTTGCTAATAATACAAAATTGTGTAACAAGTTGAAAGCAAATTATGTTGATTAGAATTTAGAATATCAATAAATGAGTAATGTTCTTCTACGTATTATATATCTTTATCTAATATATAATCGAAATTATTAAGATAAAATAGACAATGATATATTAATATTATCTTCAATAAATAGTTTATCAGAAGACATTAGGCAAAAGTTACTTATTTATTTTGATTTAAAGCTCATTTAGTAGCAACTAAGACTATAACTACGATCTATTCAATAAATACTTTTCTAACAATTATTTATATTTTCTCAATTCAATCTAATGATACAATTGTTTGATATTGAAAGCAAAATATGTTGTTTAAATGACACATGTATATATATACAGTATGGTACATTAACAACCATTAAGATCTGATAGAAGTATTTGTCAGAGATAGAAATAACAGCAGGAAGAAGAAGTACCATTCGTAATTTAAATTATAATAAATAATAATTTCAGTGGAATGGCAGCATATTTAATTAAATATCATAAATCAATTATTCTTTATTTCTTATTTTGTTTCCCCAAAATGGTGGTACCATACAAATTCGGTTAAATCCTAAGTAATATCTCATTTGATTCTTTACAAAAATATTTATTTCTTACATCCATCAACTGTCAAATTTCGACGTTAAATACAGTTGAACGTAAAAAGGAACTGATATCTCAAAGAAGAATGGTGCTAAAATGTTCTTTTTATTTTATAATCCCTGCTTTATTACGCACGATCGTATATAGTCGTTTTTTTTGTCGTGCTTTATTTTTAATAATTCAATAGATGATAATCTTAAAAAAGAAGATGATGTAACAAAATAAATAAGATCTGATCATCTATGTATGATGCTTTTATTAGTTAACCCTTCACCTTCATCTTTACTTAATCTGTAAGAACTCATTTCTTTCCTATTCTAACTTTCTTGCAGTATTATGTATATGTAGAAAATGTTTTTCAACAATGAGAGACTTATATGATACTAAATTAAACTACATATGAATAGAATTAATTCTAAATGTACTAAGAATTCGTTTAAATTTCTCTTTATCATTAATGAAGTCTATGATTTTCTCCTATCAGTTAAATTAATCTTAAAACATGTATTGGATAATTTTTTATCTTCTGAATTATTTATGTATAGATGTGTGTTATACATTTTGTTATTTCAGTCAGATATGTTTTTATGAAAATAAAGAACAACATGAATTTCAAAACTGAAATTCAAAATATTCAAACTTAGTATCTGATAATACTTAGATATGTGACAGTTCTATATCAATTCTCATTGCCGGAACTTTTGATAAAAACTGAATTGTTTCAACAGTTCAATTTCTATCAGAAGAACTGTTGTGAAGATTCAGTTCTTCTCAATCGAACTTACGAACTTGAACTGTCACAGGCCTAATTAGATATAGAATAAACATAAAGTTCTTTTTCTTTCTTTTACATTTTAAAATTAAATCTGATATCATGTAAGAGTACCTCATTACATTTAGAATTGTACAAATAATGAAAAGGATGAATAATAAGAACTGATGTTCTTTTTTTTTGCAAAAGTAGAGCTAGTATAGGAATTGATTTTAATAACAATGTATGCAAAACGCTACTATAGATTGTTGATTACTTTGCTATAATGTATGATGAATTCAATAGAGAATCTCAATAATAGTACGTATATAAAATATTTTTAGTTAAATGCGAAATAGCTATCTATAAAGTCAGTGAAAATTAGACGATATTTTGCCCATCTCTGTAAAAGATATGCATTGTAATCAAATGATATAAAAACATTAGTCATAGAATACAATAGTTTTATTCTTAAATAGAATTGGCAATTTTATTATTCAAATATATGTATCCTACCATCATGTCGAAAGTTCTTGTTATCAAATGTAAAACTTGTAGACTAAAAAACATTTACATTATATATAATAACAATTCACAGATTAGAAGTTATCATCAGGATAGTCACATAGTGCACCAGCCCATCCTACAGCACATATGCAATTCGAAGGCACCGCTTAATACTGCTGAACATATTCCTCCATTGTCGCATGGATTTTGTGTAGCAGAACAAAAATCTATTAAACAAATATCTAATTAAAAAAATATGGTTTTATTCAATGATGACTTACTTCGTATATCAGCTGTGTTGCTACTGACATGCAGACCTTGACCATGAACGCTTATATAACAAATAGAAACCATAATAACAATAACAGAAATCGAATGCATTCTCTTTATTATTATTTTCAATTATAATCAAAATCGTTTTATCATTGTCGTATATATAGATATTTTAGAATTAAACAGTATGGAAGTGCTTAACGTTGCTTAGATATATTTTCGTCTTATATTACATTTCTGTTAGACGGGTAAATACCACATTTCTATAATTTTAACTTAAATTAAATTTTTATAATCCATAAGAAAATAAGACTAAAATAATAGTTGCTATCTCTTTCAATTTTTATATGTTTTCATAAATATCTATGATTCTTAGTAAAATTAATAAGAGAAATCAGTCCACCAATTAACTTTTGTTTATTATTGTATTTTTCAGTAGGATATTTAACGAGAAGAAAAAATAATAGATATCAACAAAATAAAATTGATTCTGATACATATCACTACTTCTACATACTAGAGAGTTTTGCAATACTCTTTTTCTCCTTGAAAGGAGATCATCAAAAAAAAACTACATTGCATGTCAAAACATTTCAAATTTTAATATATGACTAATGTGTCTTCATCTTGTTTTAATCTTGTAAAATATAGAAATAATGTTCTTGCTCAACAAAAAAGTAATACTTCTTGTCACTATACCCATTGACTTATCATTTCATAGAAATAAATAAAAAAATTACTCGATATTTCAGTTGTGTTGTGCAACTTTTACATTTTGACAGTATAAAATGATTTAAATAGTGTTGTAATAATTCATTTCTTAGTCTATTCTGATTTTTCATCGATTCACAAAATATACATAGACAATTACTTTATAAAGCTCAGTACTTAATTTAAGCAGTATTAAATAGAATTACTTGTTTATAAATCTGAACATTGAATAATAATGAATACATCCATTCAAACTGTCTCAAAATCTGACATTAATTTACTAGATTTATTACTAATCAAGAGTGATACGTGTAGAAATAAAACACAAGTAGAATGTGTAGAACTTGATCAAAAAGATAATGATGTGATTGATTTCGATTCAGCGATTGTATTAGTTGGTCGATTTAATAATAATAAAGTACGAGATCAAATAATTTCAATAGTTTTCTTTTTCTATTGAATATTCTTTTAGCAAATACAATACTATTTCAATCATAGTCATTCTTCGCATAATCAGTACGATGATTTATCTCATACACGTGATTTTAAATATCAGATACATTCTGATAAACAACAACAAATAAATGTTGTTGATCAAATGATTGCTGAATCATATATTCCTTATTCTCTGTTACCAAAACATTTCAAATCACAACAAAGTCAATGGCAGACATCATTCAGAGATCAATATTTTATTCCTAATAATCTTTGTTATGAATCAGATACAAACAATTGTTATAATTCACATTCTTATCGAGGATTTGAACATTGTTCATATGCTATCAATAAACGGAACAGACCTTGTCTACATTCGAATCAGCAACGTGGAAGATATCGGTAAATAATAAAAATATGTCTTTTGTTTTATTTAATTTTAAATTCCTTAAGAAGTTATAGACGAAATGGTAATAGTTGCATTCTTGATGATCATCGAGTAAATACGTTCATGCCAGATAAATATCAATAATTGATGGATAGATAATCAACGGATAATAAATATTTTATTTTTTATATTTTGAATACCACCAATAAATCTGATCATAGTACACAATTTCTAAACGGTCATGAATTTTCCTAAAAATCGCTCATATTGACAATTTATTGTTATATAATCCAACGATTAATTTACCTTATAGATAGTAATAAAGTTGTCGATTTTTGAACGATTTTTACTATATATACATTGAATAAATTATTAAATTAGTTTCTTTATTATTGCTGTTTGCAAATAAATTGTGTGTATTTAGAAGCACATGTGGTATTATAAAAACGATAGGATGAAGGACGCGCAAATAATGAAGAGAATAAGCAATAAATGTGACACGTGTTCGATTAATTCGATTGTGTATAAATTATTCGAGCGTATACCACATTACCAATCGATAAAACTATATCCGGTTTTTATAATAATATTTTAAAAACAATTTTTTCAACAGTATCTTAAATTCATTTCAAACTTGGCATAGATTTAAAGAAGTACTCATAGCATTTTTATTAAATAAAAAAACCTCAATTGATTGTAGTATTTTATTTAAAATAGTCTTTTTGTAGCAATATTCAAAAAATCTATTTATTATATCGTAATCAGTAATTTTGAATGCATTTTCAGATAACGAGAATCAATTAACATTTTGTTCAAGAATATAAAAATTGAAATAGTATATACAAGTAACGCTCGTCTGGACACTCACTCAGCTCTTTCTCGTAAGACCGATATGTCTTCACTACCTGTAAACTATTTCAAAAATCGACTTCAGATTTGAATTCTACGATCTTAATAATCGTTCGATTAACTCTGATAAAAAATATATTTTTTGTAAAAAAAGGTAGTCCTTTATGTAAACAAAATTAATTCGAAAACAATTTCAAAAACTAAAACTAGATGCGAGCTCCTCGACCCCAATTATCTTTGATCAAGTTTTACTGTGAAGGATTCTTTTTGTTTTAACATGGTTATTCGACGAATGGATGAAATGCGGACATAAAAACATGCAAGCAAACAATTTATCTCTGCGAGAAAGAGAATAAATTTTCACACCATAGAAATATTAAGATATTTCGATTTGTTTGATCATAGAACTTCCAACTGATAGCATCGTCTTCTCATATGTTTCATATGATATAATATGCATTTCTGACGGAAAAGATTCTCTCAAATATATAATAATACTTATGAAAAAAATGAATTGAAGATTTAGATAATATCTTCCTCGTATTATTGGTAAATAAGAACTTTTCATGATTTATTTGAGTCAAACAACTTTCAAATATAAAAAACTATTAACAATCATAAATGTGAATCAATACATTTTCTAATCGATACAAAACGCTTTAATCATGAGAGAAAAATTGAGTTCCTCAAAAAAACAGTAGATTAATATAGTCATATGTCCATGCTACTAATTTTGATGTATAAAAAAAAGATGAAATGCTGAAATCATAATAAAAAAATAAAAAGTTTATTGTTAATTAGCTCCGACGTGCTTGATTGGTTGTAGTTGTATCCTTCTTTTTTAGCTCGTAAAAAAACAACAGTATATGAAATTAATATGAATGATAAATGTATCATATACATGCAACATACCCATTTGAAACACAAACACAATGATTAGAAAATTTGTATGCTAATATTTTAGTTAAACTGAAGTTAGAATTTTCAAGTCATCTTTTGTATAACGATAATATCGTAGATGAGTAGTGTAAACAACAAATAGCATCATTATAATATTCACAGGCACAACCACCATTTGCGGGACGCTGATCCAGACTATATGCCATTGCTCCAAAGAAGATGTTTGCCATTAAGATGATACATAAGACGGCGATGATAGTTTTGACCATTGTAATATATTTTGAATGCAGTTGAGTATTATAAATAACTGGGAATACTGGATGATATAATTGTACAGTTATGCTTCAGCTATATATACGTCGAGCGCCTGGCATGGATGCATTTAGTAAAAATAATTTTCTTTTTTGATACGCAAAAAGTGTGATGCACGCTGGTTTCTTTCTAACAATAAGAAAAACAGATCTCGCCTTGTATTTAAAACGAGATCGGTAATTATCTTTTGTTCGTATATATACGTATGCGTATAACGTCAGCAAAAAACGTATTTTTTCGTTCGCATAGCACGAAAGGTAATCATCGCTTGTTTACATAGACATATTCGAAAACTGTCCTCACTGCACTGTACTTTTTTATCCATAAAACGTGTCCAAATAACGTGATCTTGGGAGAAAAAAATCATATTCCTCTTCAATATTTTAGTAGAGAGAAGTGACGTATTTTGTTTTGTCATTGTTCGCTTGATTCACATTTGATAATATCGCTACATATCTATATTTATTCACTTGCATTACAATAAAAAAAAAACTTGATAAATTATTGATATAAGAACATTTAAATGATGATCTAATTTTGAATATCATCATGAAATTATAAATAATATTGTTCGTATGCATCACATGTTAATTAATAAACTTATTTTAAAACCTTATCGTTTTATAGGATTTACAAAGCATTCATTTTCAAACTGGAGTCGGATATCCATGATGAAATTTTGGGCTTTATAACATCTAGTTAAAATAAATAAATAATAAAATAGTTCAGATCTTTTCGCCGAAAGAATCGAACTTGAACTGTTACAAGTTAAGTGACACTGCAGTAAATATGAATTTTATTGAAATGCTTCCTCTGTCTTTATTTCGATTTATTGCAATAAAATTAGATTCTTAATTAGAATATTATAGATTTAATTTCGATGTGATAGACTGTATATATATATAAATTTATCTCTCATTAATAATTGATGTTTTTAATAAAAATAAAAAGAATAAGATAGGATAATATTGATTTATCTCAATTACTGTTTTGTTTTATTTTTGTGTATAAGTCACTAAAATTTCCATATTTTGTTTTTTGATATAATAGGTAGATATAATCATTGTGCAAAAGAAGTAAGTGAGAAAGAAAGAAAGAAGGAAAGAATGTCAAATAAAATGAAAAGATTAAGTTAAAAGTAGCACCGACAACAACGAAAAATGATAAACAAAGAAAGAAATACTTTTGCGAATAAATATGTTATTATTAAACAAGGGAAAGAAAATCAAGATGAAGTTCATGAGGAATCTCCAATTGATCAAGTGAAACAGTTGATGGAACATAAGGATAAACAAGTGGAAATGTATATGACAGATCAAAATTTTCTTGTTGTTCATAATCACTTCGTGCACGATCAGGTGTTGAACCAAGTCTTTGTTGTCTCAATAATTCTTGTACACGTTTTATTAATGTTGGTGTTACTTGATCATCAAAATCATCCATTGACTTGTATAAACTCAATAATTTCGTTACCTAAAATTCAATTCAAGTGTTTAATTTTCAATAAAAAAAAAACAAAACAAATTTATCTTTACTTGAACTATAGTTAACTTAGTGCAAACATTACTAATGCTTGTTTCATCTTTTTTACAAAGAAATAATTGAACAGCTTGTGTTAATGGAAGAAGACAATCAGAAGCACCACTATCTTGTAAATTTTGATCACGTAACCATTCAGTTAAATGATTTAAATTATAACTAACGAAAAACAAAAAAAATATATCAAATGATTTTCTTTTAAATTAAAATTCTACCGAATTTGTAAAGCTTTACTCCAATTACAACAATCACTTCGTACAAGTAAACCACGAAGAGCTTGAGCATCAATTATATAAAAAATCTAAAAAAAAATTCTATTAAAATAATTTTTTTCTTTGTCTAATAAACAAACTTGTTTGAATAATTGTTGAACAATAACTGGTTCAACTGAATACATTTGACATAATTTATGATAATCATTTAACTAAATAAGAAATACAATAGAATATTTTTATATTATAACAAAAAAATATCTATACTTGTTTAAGAAGATCTTGTGCGGAAAATTTTGATCGTTTATCAGTAGGAGTTGTTGCAGATATACCTGGATTTACAGATGCGATACCACCTGAATCAAGATCTTCATGTTCAATTATAGCAGGAACTATTTAGAAACAAAAAAACACTTGAATAATAGTATTTTAAATCTAAATCTTCATCATACTAATCATTGGTAATAATTTAATTTTCACTCTTTTTAAAATTTCATCATATAAATGAACAACAAGATCAGCAAAAATGATTCGATAATCAGTTAAATCAAAATTTCTTAATGCTTGTTCATTTTGTTTTGGAGTATTTGTTATTTGATATTTCTAGAATTTAAATTTAGGGTTTTGTTTATATTTATGATTGAATATAGGAGATATACCTCTTCACCACTATATTGTTGTAATGTATGAAGAAATCGAACAGTATTTGCTGTCCATAGAATAGGATAATCAATATCTTCATTTCTCTACGAAAACAAAAAATCAAATTTTTCTCATTTTCCATAAAAAGAATTTTTTGTTTACTCGTGGTAATTTTTTGATTTTTTTCGTAACAGCTGATAAAAATCCAGCAACATGTGCTTCATCATCAACAAAATCAATATATCGAATACACATAAAAAGAATGTAAGCAGGAAGAGCAGGAATATATTTGGCAGCTAAACGAGGTTTTAATTCTATATAAACAAAAATATTTATCAATTGTGTTTTTTTTGCTAAAATAAAAACAAACCAAGAATAACGGTATCAGTTATTCGTTCTGTTTCTTGTGGATTACATTTAATCATTCCACTAAAATGTTTTATACTTTGACGACGAAGATCAACATTTCCTGTTACATTTGATTGTATTGTTGTACTTGCTAATGACATTGAATTCGAACCATCAATATGATTAGTAAACGGAGGAAGACCATTTGTTGAACCATTTTGTAAGACTTGTTCCCAGGATACATTTCCTATTTTTAGATCAATATTAATTATTCAATACTTTAGAAGACAAAGAAATGTTTTTAGTGGCAAGAAACGAAAAAAGGATTTATCTTACTTAGCGAATTAGTTAATAAAAAATAGTGAATTACCTGCTGAAAAACTTTTATTAACAAGTTTAATAACACGTCTTAATTTTCTAATTTCTGCATGATTATTTTGAATTTGTTGATGAAGTTCCTATGAATAAAAGAAATGATTTAATATATATATATAAACAGATAGATATATGTTATATACAAGATTTTCATGTATAACATTAGCTATTTGTTGTTTCATTGAATCATCAACTGTATTTTCATCAATTGATTTACATAATTCAAGATTTTCTGCTTCAACTTGTGCTAAACGATCTTGTGTTCTTTCATATTCACGTTGATATGATGTTCGACATTGTTCAAGTTCAAGTTCGAGCATTCTTTAAAAATGAAAATAAAAATATCAAAATGAAAATAAAATCTTTCATACTTGTTAATTTGTTTTTGACTTTGATATGCTTGTTCAATAGCATCACTTGCAATAACATCATCAGTTTCATTTTCATGTTGCATAACACGATCTTGTAGTTTTGATTTCATTTCAATTTGTTCACGACGACGATGTTCTAATTCAGCATTTAATGCTTCAAATTGAGCTTAAAACGAAAAAAAAAGAATAAAGAAGAAGAAGATTTAAATATAACTAAATCTTACCAAGTAATTGGTCTTTTGCAGATTGTTCATCACCCTTGAGTAATTCTTCTCTTAATGCTCTAAGGTCATTTCGTAATTTATCCATATCTAATTCATCTAAATGCCATGGTGAATGTTTTTTCATTGTACTTAATTTCGATGAATTTGTTATTCCTTTGTCAAGTTCTTCACTCATTGTTTTATTTTCTTGTTCGAGTTGTCTAAGACGTCGTTGAAGACGAAGAAGAAGACCACCAGCATTACCATCTATTTCAGCAAGGTCTTCTAATGGTTCATTTGTATTTATAGTTGTTAATTGACGTAGATGGCTATTGATAGTAGATGAAAGAAGAGGAGGAGGACGACGAGGAGTTAAACTATCGCTGTTCAATGGTGCTTGATCCTAATACAAAAGTAAATATGTACATTAATCAGTATCATCATTAGTGGATTGACCCATATAACACAAATTACGGCATATATATTATAATGAAATGATATTACGAACTTTTTATGTATCTTTTTTATTGACTAACTACAAATCAAAGATCTAACTGAATTTATTTCTACAAGAGTTAATATTAATTCTCATGAGTATAACCAGAAAAAAAAGTACAGAGTAAGTTTTATTTCTTCGCCATTTCTTCTAGTCGTTTTGATTGCCTGTGAGGATATATTAATCTAAAATCCCGATGGTTTATAACTTCGCTGTATGTTTATTCAATCTGTTTATTTTATTATATTGAATATTCAAATATTTCAAATAATAACAATTATCAGATCGAAAAACGTGTCTTCTACTGTTATGTACATGATAAATTTATCGTATTATATTAAGTAAAGATGTCGACGACTTGTAAAAAAGCTATTTTCTATAAAATTTTCATTCTAAAATATAATCCCTCTACCTCCCCTCCCTCAAAAATCAATCTTAGATTAAACAGAATGAAATCGTATGAAATTGTCAGTACTAAATCATAATGTTTGAGGTAGACATGTACCAAAGAAAAACTAAAAATAGATCATTTAGTCCATTCGAATTCTCCGTGGACCTTCGTTTGATAGATTCTTTCTTTTTTTTTGATAGAACACGCTAGAATCCAGGGTCATTGGGAGCTTTTTCCTTTGAATTCTTACTTTTTAAGCAGAAAAGAAAGAGAGATGATAAGTTTAATCGTTTGAAAAACTCTCAAAAAAATGGGTTTCATAGGTACCGCAGTATTTTATGCTTTTTCGAACACAAAATGTTCTATATAAATAGGATTAAAACTATATTATTTACAGGTAGATCATCAAGATCAAGTGTATCCATAAATTTCGAATCCCAAGTCATATTTGAATCTGATGGTGCTGATTTAACTTTATTAACATTTCCATTTTGTAATTCACTTTGAAGATTTTCACATTTTTGTTCTAATCTATGCATTTCAATAACAAGCCGTTGTCTTTGTTGTCTTTCAGTAGATAATTCTTCTTCAAGTTGTTTTAATCGTGTTGTTGATAAATCTTGTGCTGATAAATCTCCACGTGATTGTTCCTTTAATTTTTTAATTTCTTTTGATTTTTCTTCGATTTGATTTTGTAAATTTGTAACTAATTCAGTATTCTTTAAAATAATTTCCTCTTTTGATTGTTTTGTTTGTGTTAAATCAGAACGAATTGATGTATTATCAGCTTTAAGACGTTCATTTTCTAATCGAAGTCTAATAAAAAAAAGTAATTATTATTGACATTAGAATTCAAAAAAAGGAAGACAAGTATAAAATAAAATCTTACTGTTGAAGTTCTTCTTCTAAATTTGATTGTTTTTTTTGTTTTTGTTTGAATTCTTTATTATTAATTTTAATTTGTTCAAATTCTTTTTTTAAACTATCAAATTCTTGTTCTTTAGATGATAAACGTTCATTATCACGTTTTTGTTCATCAATTTTATATTGTAATGAAATAATTTTATTTTCTAAACCTTTATTTAATTGTCTTTGATGTTCAATTGAACGTTGTTCAAGACGAAGTTTTTTAACTTCTAAACAAGCTTCACGTCGACGTTGATGTGATTGTAAAAGTATAACACCACGTTGAAATGTAAGAAATCTTTGACGTGCAATCCACATACGTACAGATGATTGAAGTACAAGTACACTTCGTTCAAGCATTCTTTGTTGAAGATTTTTTCTAACCAAATAACCTCGACAATGTGATTGTATATCAATTAAAATAATTCGAAGTCTTTCAAAATTACGTTGAGCTAATTGCATACGCCATAACGATTGAAATAATGTTACAGCACGTGTACGACGAATATTTTCGGCATGTTTTATTGCTAAATATCTTCGAGCTAATGTTTGAAGTGCAAGTGTTGTACGTTGAATTTTTAAATAACGTTTACGAGCATAATAAGCACGGTATGTTGTTTGTATTTTAATAATACATGCACGAAGTTTTTCTGAACGTAATTTTTCTAAATAAGCAACTTGTCCAGCACGAAAAAATATTTTCGTATTTCCAAATTGATATTTATCTTGATCAGATATTAAATTTTTAAGAATATTTTCACATGTTCGACGATAATTTGTACGATCAATTACTGATGAACGTGCTAATAAGCGATAACGAATAAAAAAATCATGATAATTCCAACGTGATGGATAACCAGCAGCACTAATACGAACTGTTTCTAATACACCACATGCACGTAATTGTTGTACGGCACGACGAGGTTCAAATCTTTAAATTAAATATTTAAATTACTAATGAATGATCGAAGATTTTTTTCAATAGAATATTTACTCACTTTTCCAAAACTATGAATTAGAATTAGAGTTTTCTCCTCGAGTTTGTTCAAGAATAAACAAAAAAGTTTTCAGCGCACTTGTATAGTTCCACTATTAGAATTCGGGATCATTATCTATACATCAGCTTGGTTGACTATCATATTTCGTCCTACAAAATGACTGACTCCAATAATTTTTAGTATTTCCGAAAATGATCTTATAGAATGAACAAAACTGCGCTAATTCATGACAACAGATACAATGTTTCTAAGCCCGACACAATTCTGGTTCTATTTCATAGCTTTTGACTTGTCTGTCATAGTTTCTTACAGGTCAAAAGTCAATAAATATTCTATCTAAAAAATTTTCAATTAACCGTTAAAAAAACTTACGTAAATGGAGTTTTTGTATCATTAGGTTTTATACAACGAACATAATGTGGTTCCGTAGAATTTAATGCTGCCATTAGACTTGTTAACGACTCACGAAACTAATAGAAAAAAGAACATGACAATTTATATTCATTCAATATATTGAAGAAGTTTTCAAACAAATGGAGTTATACAATAGAAATAGGGAAGAAGTAAAGCAAGGATATTTTGATTGGTTTAAATGTCAGTATTGAAAACTGTTCATTTAAAAAATAAAGAATTCTGTGCTTCAAACAAAACATAAAATATTTTATAGAGTGAAAATTATATTTTTGATTTACACTTAAGTCAAAGAAAACATATATATATACAAAACCAACCTGTGAACCGAGTGAAAAACGCTGAAAACAACTATTTAAAATATTTTTATAATAAAAAAAAGAAAATTTACTTGAGATCCAACAGTTTTCTTTCTTTGTGCTTGAACTTTTGATGTTGCTTGTAATGTTCCTGTTTTTTGTACTTGATAAGATTTTCCTGATCCTTTTGCATTATCTTTTAATTCATCTTCTTCCAGAAATAATTGAACAACAAAATCAAACTAAAAATAATAAACTGATAAAAGATATAAAAGAAAGCTTTTTAATATTACTTCACTCTCTTTTAACATTTTTAATTGATCTTCAAGTACTGTATCACGATTTTTTTCAAGAAATCCATCGATTGAATATTCAACTTTTTCTGCAAAATGATTTATAATAAATGATGAATTAGCTGCTAATTTTTTTGTTAAAAAATCTGGATGTTTTCCATGTTGAGTAACTAATTTTCTATTCCAGTTTTCATCTGAACCTTTGGGCATCTGTAAAAAAATTTCATTTGATTTATTTTTTATAGCAAATAAACTACAAAACAAACTTTGCATTCTTCATCTAATAAATCTAAAATTCCTAATTTATTTTCAATTAAATCAATACATGGTTGATTATCATAAAATTGTATAAATGACCAGGTTATTTCTTCTTTCATATATTCTTCTTGTTCAAGTTTAAATACATGCTAAACGTACAAATTTCATTTTAAAATATCAAAGAAATATCTTTTTTGGTTTTTTTACTTGACAAAATTGTTGTTGTAATTTTTCATTTGCATAATTTATACAAAATTGTTCAAAACTATTTATTTCAAATGTTTCGAAACTAAATGCAAAAAAAATATATGAAATATTAAAAATAATTAAAAAAAAAGAAAAACTATACCCATAAATATCTAGAACACCAATAAATGATTGTCTTTGTCCAATATATTCTAATGATTTATTTATTTCATTAACAATCCATGAAAATAATTGCGAGTAAATATGTTTTGCAAGTGCATCTCGAGAGAATAGAGCCTAAAATGATTAAATAATTATAGTGGAAATCAAAAGTTTAAGGTATTTGTTTTTTGTATAAACAAATGATTTGAATAATCAAGGAAGTGCTCAATCAATCGCATAATATTTCATAATTTTATCTATGAGTTTTATGATCAAAGTTTCTAACAAAACCGATAGTAAAGCTTTATGGAAATTATTACTTCACAATGTCATCTTGAAGATAATAAAATTCTGAGCAAAATGAAACATCGTCGCGTTTTCTACGATTTTTTCTTAAAAAGTATTTTTTCGCTTTTCATGACCTGCGTAATCTTTCAAGAGAAAACTCGATGATCCATCATTTAGCTCAGAATTTGATGCTCTTTAAAATGATGTTATCAAGAAACAATTTCAATAAAGTTTTTACTTTGATTACTCAAATCATTTTGAACAACAAAGAATAGATGCATTGAACTTTTGATTGCTACTATATATAATAAGAAAATTTTACTTGATTAAAAGTTAATGTTGTATTAACAACTTCAACACCAGTTTTAATTCTTTTATTGCATAGCCATGTTCTCATACGACTTTCATCAATTTTAAGAAGTGAACAAAATGTTGAAAATGATCTATCAGATTCTTTAACATACGTTGTTTCACCATCACCTTCACTTATAATAACATTTCCCAAATGTAATATTGCAGATAGAAGACGAAATATTGATATTTGAACTTTATTCTCAATACCTATCAAAATATATATCATACAGATATTAAAGATAAGAAAAAATATGCTACAAACCAAGGAGTGTTAATGCTTCACGTGTTTCCTGAAATTGTTGAGCATCATTCACACCTTTGATTGTTATTGCATTTCCTTCAGATGTATATCGAAATTGATCCGCAGATACTAAATTAATAACAAATATTTTCAAATTAAAAAATAAAATTAATCTTACATAATGCAAGAGATTTCATTTCTGGTTGATTCGTTTGTGTACATAATTGATAGAATATATGATAATTTCGTTCATCAGGTGCTTGATAAATAACTCTACAGGAAAAAAAACAAGATCTTATTAATTAGAAAAGAAAAATATTTTTCCGTATACCTTGATTTTTCTAGTAAATAAGTTCTCATTGATGCTCCACAAATATGATTTTTTAAAAAACCAATTTCAATATATTTTCCAAAACGTGATGAATTATCATTACGTATTGTTTTAGCATTTCCAATAGCCTTTTATATATAAATAATTATTTTATATTTTGTATTGATTCAATGAAACTTACTTCCATAATCGGACTTGATGCTAAAACTTTTTTTTCAATTTGTGTTTCTTCTAATAAACCGCCAACATTTGCAAAATATCTCATTGCATATTTTGCACTAACTGTTTTTCCAGCACCTGATTCTCCTGAAACAATAATTGATTGATTTTTCGAGAAATTCACCATAGATTGATAAGCTAATTCAGCTGTAGAAAATATATGTGGTTCTAATAATTGAACATCTTGATCACGATACAATTGAATTGTATCATTTCCATATATTGATAAAACTTCATAAGGATTTATAGCAACTAATACAATACCACATTTTGTATAAATTTGAGATTTATTAAAACGAGATTCAAGATTATATAAAACTAAAATCAATATATTTTAATTAAATAGAAAAAAGATTTAATTATTTTACCTTCAGGTTCATTTAAGTAGGATAGAGCAGTAAGATCTTTTTGACCAATAAGTATCTCTGGATTACGTAATGGTGGAAGATCAGTATCAGATTTAATTGGAATTGTTTCCTAATTATATTTAAGATTAATTATGAAAGATTTTTTAAAAAATCAACTTACATTTCCTCCATCAGGTGATGTAACCTCAAGTTTTCCTTTTCCATCATAATTAGCGGAGACAGTGACCGCACGCCAAACAAGTTCACGATCTGGTAACCAAATACGTGCACCCTAAGAAAAATGAATTTTTTCGTTTTTATATCTATATTTTGATATATGAAATAAAATAAAAATCAAGCAGCCTCTTATATTGCATTATTCTTTTTTTTCATAATATTCATATTTTAAAATCATGCAATATAAACTAAATATAGCACAGCACACATGGTATATTGACAAAATATACGAACTTGAAAGAAATATTATTCGACTTAGCTAATATGAAATAAAAAAGAAATGCAAACAACAACGAAATAAATCGAATAACTCAAAATAAATATTCGCTAATTTTTTCTTTAAAAAGAAACCTTTATCATATTCAGATAATATTTACGACTAGAATTAATTGACAACATAGATTAACAAGACAAAAGAAAACGAAAGATTTATTATTATATATTTAACATACCTTCGTATATAATTCTCGGACAGACATAATTCTTCAATATTGTATTTAAAAATATTACGAAGCCATTCAAAGGTGACAAACAATATGTTGAATGTCGAAACACCGACAAAGAATTATTTCTAGAAAATAGTGAACAAATTGTTTTTATTTGATACTACATAACATTCATATGGACTCTCTATCTGACCATTTTTTTATTAAGAGAAAAATACAGAAGAAAAAATATTTATCTGAAATTTTAAGTTTATCTTTTTCTTTTTCTATTCATTGCTGCAGTAAGAACATTGGTAAGATCATTTGTCATTCCTTGAACTTTAGGTGGTAACATTTGTCTTGTTTCATTATTAATTAATCTATCATAATCTCGAAAAGCTGCTTGACCCAATAATAATAAAATTTTTTCTTGTCTTTCAAATTTATTTGTTTGTTGTTTCATACTTTCATGATGATGATGATCAGTTGATAAAACTAAATGAAATGCTGAATCCATAATTGAACGAAATCTTTGTTGATATGTTTGTAAAAGTGTTATAGCAACTTGTCGTTTTTCATCAAAATTTAATTCTAATAAATGTCGTCCTTGACGATAGAAATGTGGACCTTGTTTAGCCAAATCAACAACAGATGCATCAGCAGCAAAAATATGTCGTTGAATACGTGAATATATTAATGGTAATTCAGGTAATGAAGCAAATCGCGTTTTACAATTACATATTGAATAAATCATCCAATAAGGAAGTTCAAGTTTTGTATTTGCTGTTAATGTTGATAAATTTGGTCCTTCTTTACCTTCACTTTTATCATCATTTATTGCTGCAGATGATGAAGATTCAAGAAAACCTAGTTTTGGTATATCAACAAGTAATTGACAACGAATACGTTCTTGTGTTGAGAGAATATCATCAATAGAAAAATAATCTTCATACATCTGAAAAACAAAACAATTTTAATTTCTTCTTTTTTTTTTTATTCAACAGATAACTGATTAATAGCTATCTGACAACGACGATGCACTAATTCTGAATAATTAGTTTTATTAAGAATGAAATGTGAAAGAAATAATCTAAAAAATAAATAAAAAATAAATTTTTTTCAAATAATTTTTTTCATTTTTACCTAAAAGCATCTTTAACAAATTTATAATTTTGTGTTGATGGAAATTGAAAAATATTTCTCAATGATGCATCATCGATCTCATTGAATAATTTAACAAACAATTCAACAAGAAATGTTCGTGCTGATTGCGTCAATTCGATGAAATTGAAATTCTTTTAAATATAAAAAACACTTTTATCTTTTTTTCTACATTATTAATATAATAATTTACTTTAAATATATTGAGTGTTAATGATTTTGATATTAATAATTGCGAAAGTGCTTGACCAAAATTTGCTAATTGTTGATTTTTAAGTAATGAAAGATCTTTAAATCTATCCCATGTATGATATTGTAATGATATCTAAATATATTTCAATTACAAAGAATTTTAATGATAATAAACATTTTTGTTCTTTTACTTGAAAACGACGATCATATGCACAAAATCGTTGTAAGATTAATGTATAATATGGATTGTAAACTTTTTCATGTAAACAACAATGAACAGTGACCTTGATAGAACATTCTCGAAATATTTGAATTTAATAAAAACTAAACTTACATGAATTATTTCTCGTTCTTGTACTTTATTTAAATTAAGTTTATGAAGTTTTTCAACGGCATCATCACAATCCTAGACAAAATATATATATTCAAATTTTTATTCAAATAGAAATTTAATCTATTTAGTTACAACTAAAAATATTTAGCTTTATTGTATGTCTCTTCACATCATCACCTTTATTATTTTCTCTAGAGAAATGTATATACTGAGTTTCATACTAATAGACAGAATGAGATGAAGAACAAAATCAACATGATTCATATTAGGAGAAAAAAAAGAATAATCTGAAGATTCATTGTTCTTTGAAAAATACATAATTATTAAAAAAAAAACCTAGTTGTATTATAGAAGTTTTTCAATAAGGATTTGTATTTCTTTTCCTTTTCCTTTATTGTCATTGTATTTATTATCTTCTTCATCTATATCCGGTCATTATTTATTTGCTCTTTTTTTTTTATTCGATCTGTTTCCTCTATTCTATTCTTTCTTTTGTTGATATAACAAGTCCATTAGTTTATTGCTCACATTCATTCTTTCATTCTCATAATTTGCCTCACTACACACTGGTTTTTTTTATACCGATTGTTTTCGAAATTAGAATAGTTGATATATTTAGATTAATCATTGAAAAATTCAAATAAATATCAAAATAGGGGAAGATTTATCTTATATATCATATAGAAACTAGCAGAGTTATCTAAAGAAATTAATAAATTTTCTTGACCTAATACAAAATTCGATAATAAATCTTATTTTGTTAACTATGGAGTTTCTCGTCATTAATTTGTGTAAAAAATTAGCATTATTTCTGTTGTCTTTATGACATCTCGAGTTTCTATATGCCTTATCTATACTTTGTAAAAGTTTCATGACAGAATATTATTTAAATATATATAATTTCTATAAATTACTTCGCTTGTTAATAAAGTTCCAAAAATTAATCGTCTAATATCTGTATTCATATGTTGTTTTTTAGCTAATTTTCGAATTTTTTCATCAAATAATTGTTCAACTTTTTGATTTTTATTTGTTTTTTTATTATCTTGAACAGTTTGTTTTTGCCATGCTGATCCAACAATCCACCATCGTCCTTGTTCTTTAGCATTAAGAAAATCTTGTAAACCAACATTAAGCATATTAGCTTGTTGTACTGTTTTATCTTTGACTAAATTTTTATAAATTTTTCTTAAACGATCAATACGTTCCGGTTCAAAACCACCTGGTAATTTTCTGACATCATTATTTTTTAAACTTTTTATTGTATCCATCATAAATTCTAAACGTTTTGATGATGATGATATTAATGTTGATGATGAACATATTGTTCGTAATTCTTGTAAAAATGTTTTTAATTGTAATGGATCATCTTTACGTAATAAAAATCCACTTGTTTTTAATAATAAAAGAATTAATTCAAGACGTTTTTCATTTAATGGATTACTATTTAATATATATCGTGCGACATCAAATATAATTTTTCCATTTGTCATATAAAATGCGTACAGATATGAAATAAATATAATTAAATTATCATTGATTTTATTTGATACTTCATCATTAATATGTTCAAGAAATATTTGAAAGAAATTTTCAAGTATATATGATCCAATTTCTAAACCAATATTAGCATGAAGAAGAGAAGCAAGTAATGCATGTTCAGCAAGTAAACTTTCACCAGTTAATGAAAGTGATGATAGAAGACTATCGTGATATAATTGATATATACATGCATGAATTGATGCACGAGATTGTGAACGATAAAGTGTTTCAATTTCAATTAATATTGATGAGAGATTTTTTTCACTCAAACGATTTAATTGACCTTGAAGACGACGTTTTAATTCTATGTTTGAATTTTCATCGGATGCATTTTGTTTTTGACGAAGCGCTGGAGGTATATAAGTTGTACCTTAAATAAATCAAATAAATATATAATTATTTAAAAAAAAAAGGATTTGTAAATATTATAAAAAAAACGATTGTCACTATTGACCCACTTCTGTTTAGATTTTTCTATGTAAAATTCGTAATACTATAGAGAGCGAGAAGTGATATTAAAAATAGAATTATAAATAATTGGTTATTAAAATATTTGATTACAGAATGTAAAAAAAATAAATAGATTCGAGTAAACTAATATTAATTTTAGTATTCTATACATTTTAATATAACTTCTATTTGCTCATCTAAGATTTGTATGAATCCTAGACAATGACTTGTGTTTAAAAGATATACCTTATTTCTCTGTTAAATTAATAATGAAAAGCTGTTAGCGCAATCCCTATGAGATTGAAACGTAAAATACAAAATAGCTGTTGTAACATAAGTTACTACGAATTAATAACATCGCTTACGATCTATAGTCAGCGTCTGCCATGATCTATGATACAAATTATTAGTAATTAACTAATCAGTTAGTTTTAACTAATTAATGTTAATTGACAATGTCTATGATGAGCCGTTGCTAGGGTGTCTGTCACGTCTGTAGCGAGAGGATGAAGATATATCTAATTGCTGTATATAGATGATAGGGGAGATACTAAAAGTTGTAGGGATAATAATATAGGAAGTCTTAGAAATCTTATGACATCTTTCGAAGCCTTTTAAAACTCGTTGTTTCTTCTCTAATTCAGATAGATTTTGGACATTCTATATATCAATGAATCTAGCTTAATAACCTCATTCTACGTCAAAAATCATAATAAACTTCGTGAAATGATGCGATATAATTGGGGTCTTCTATATAGACTTAGTTATGATTGACAATCAATCCCTAGGAAAATCGAAATAGTAATCTATAATCATAATAATTAATGGACAAAGTGTAGAGTTTCAACACTTGTCTGACATTTTTTCAGCTTCTTGAACTGACAAATTGCACTTTTCCCTTGATAAAATAGCACTATATTTTTAGTTGCAATTGAGTGAAAAAATTTATGATAATACTTCTGAAGCATTAGTCACTTAAATCCTTACACTTAACTATTTTACTTTACGAGTAATCTCAACTTCGCGATTATGAACTACTTTTTTTTTACATAATTAGAGACAAAATTAAACCTTCTCATTTATTCTTACTTGAACTATTTTTAACAACATTGCCTTTAGTATCAATTGTTCGTCCATAAATATCTTCTTTCACTATTGGAGCTTCTTCACTATCGTCTTTTTCTTCTTCTTCATCTTCATCTTCATCTTCTTCATCGTCATCAAAATCGCCTTCATTTTCATCTTCATCTTCTTCATTTTCATCAAAATCTTCTTCATCCTCATCAAAATCTTCTTCATCTTCATCAAAATCCTCTTCATCTTCCATTGAATCATCATCATCGATCATTTTAGTTTGAACTTGTTCATTAAATTTAACTACAGATGTTTTTTTTCTTTTTTGTTTTATCTTGTTTAATATCTTCAGTTTTATTTGCTAATTTAACTCTTTCTTTTTGTTTTTTAGCTAACCATTGTTGATCTTCATCATTTTCATCATACCAAGCATTACCTTCTCCATCACCTAATTAATATTTACAAATAAATTTTTAATTACAACAAAAAAACAAATATATAAATAACCTTCTGCAAGGAGGATTTGTTTCCGTTGATCTCTATCACAAAAATCAAGTAAAAAATCCAACCCATCATCAACAAAACCACGTAAATAAGTTTTTCTATCAGATTTGATACCTAAAAGTTTTTCTAATTTTTTTATATGCATATCTTCAGCTTGATTATCTTCAAGTAAATTCTTTCGACGCTGTTCTTTAGCATCCTATCAATAAAAGAAATTAAGTATTAGTTAAAACTAAAGAACAGCTGTTTATTAAACCTCTTCATCAAATGTCAATTCAGTTGATTCATCTTCAGATTTTTTCTTTTTCTTTTTTTTTCTTCTTTTTCTTTAAATTATTTTCTTGTTCAGATGAAGATACAAGTGCATCGACAGATACTGGAATCTAAATTAAAAAATTGTTTATTTTTTCTAATAAAAAAGATAATAATCAAACTTTTTCTCGATGTTGCCATGCATTTCGTTTTGCTTTAACTAATTTTCTCTCGAGTTGACGACGCTTTTTTCGAGGAAGAAGATGATTTTCTTGTTTTAATTCGATTTTCATTTTATCTAAAACAATTTTATCTATTATGTTAACGCATAAAAAATCATCCAATAATTTCATCAGATTCAAGTTCATGTTCAATATAAAATTCAGTTATTTTATTTACAACAATATTCATATTTAAACTATGATCGGTCATTTCGTTCAATACCTACAAAAAATAAAACAAAATAAATAGATTTACAATTGAATATATATATACCTGTTGTTCGAAAAGAACTTCTCGAGCATCGTTTGAATCAATGGCAAGAGCAATAAGAAAATCTTCATTGTAAGGAACTGATCGAAATGCTATCTAAAATAATTATTTAACGATTTAGAAAATCTTTCTGTAAAATCTAATTACTGAAAAAACGCCACGTGTAATCCAACCATGAAAACGTTTTAATGTTTGTCCATAAGCTTTATTCATAGCATCTTCAACAGTTTGATCACCTTGACCAAATTCATGAAGAAAACATGACAGAAAATGAATACTTCTATAATGATAGAATCAAAAACATTTTATTATTCTTTCATGTCAAATAGACATTTCTTCCAAATCAAAGTGTCACATATAAATTCTATTGATCCAGAAATTTTTAATTTAGTTATATTACATCAAACAGATTCTATCGTTTTCCATAGTATGATCTCTGTATTACAGATGTGGAATATTGTATCCTTATTCCTTTTTTTTTAATAATGACTTATGTCTGTCATTATTAATATAGAATAACATGAATATCTTTGTTTTATTCAAATATATTAATAAGAGAATTAGTAAATTGTAATCATTGATAATCTATATCATAATCAAATTGAAAGTTTATCTTATTTTCTATCAATAGATTATATTTCAATATGATGTAATCGAATAGTTATTTTATTTAATAAGAGAATTCTTTCAAGTGATAATATCCGTTTAAGTTCATATTTTTTTCTCATAGATAGAATACGTAGTACACTTAAAAATCCAAGAAAAATACACATTATTACGAATTCATCATATATATCTCTTGTAATTTGAAGCAATCTAAACATGATTCCGTATTATCTATTTTAAAAATGCATATAGAATATGTAAATAAAGTGAATATGATTAGTCTCTATTACATTTCAAAATTAAATCAATTGTATCTTTCTTTCCTATTCTATGATTTATGCAAAAACTAATTAGAAATATTCTTGTAGATTGTTAGTATAGATTTAAAAATCGAATATACCTTTTAAGCCAAAGAAGTGAATCAGTTGCGGAATTTTTTTCTTTTATTGTTTTTGATATTATTTCATCATTAACAATTGAATATAAAGTTTGATATTTACTCGGATCATTACTTATTTTTCTTCTTAATTTCTATAAAATTATATATTAATAATAAATTTATTTATAAAGAAAAAAGTATTTTTAACCTACACTAATATTACCATTAGCATCTGCACGTAATGGAGTAAATGTTGTACTATTAAATTTATCTATTAAATTCAAATTATTTTTACATTAATTTTAATATAGAAATGTTTTTTTACCAATAAGAGTAAGATATTGTTCACAGATAGAAAGAAAAAGTTCAGAATGTATTTCATGAAATGCTAAACAACTTAATTGTGCGAATCTATAAAATACAAAAAATAAAACGATTTTGTATATTATAAATATGAATAGATCATATTTTGAATTACGTATTAGGTAGTTGAGAGAAAAATGTTTTATAAATAATTTGTTTTGGTAAAATTGTTGTTGCTATTGAATTTACAGATCTATGAAAATAGAATAAATAGAAAATAATATGAATTAATATATATATACTTAGTGGGTTCATGTTCAGTAAATGACTGTCGATTAGTTGAGATTCTATTTGAAAGTTTTCGTGGAGATGGAGAAAGTAAAAGTAAAGATTGAGATGAATCACCAGTCGCTAATTTAACACATTCGTCAAGTGTATGAATGAATGCATCACATGTTATATTTAACATTGATGATGATTCATCTAATTTCTTCAAAACAAAAACGAAAATTTTATTTTAATACATCTATATAATATCAACAAATATACTTTAACATCAGGTATTGGTGTATCATTTGCTATAGATTTAATAGCATGAACACGTTGTGTAAGAACTGTTTCATAGAGACGTAATTCTTGTACTTTTAGTTTTATTTCTTGATCAATTGCTGATAAATGTGTAACTAAAAACGAGAAAATCATATTCAATAAACCAACAAAAAAACAAAATTTTATTCATTTACCTAATGTTGATGATGTATTATTATTATTGTTATTATTATTAATTGGAATTGATGTTGTAGATTTTGTTCCTCTTGATTTATGTGTTCCTAAAGCAACAAGCCAACGTTGTCGTTCAGGTTGTGATTTAGCTTTTAAACAAAAAAATTGTTCGCCAGGAATAATTAAATCAAAACGAAATGGATCATGTGGAGGAACTAAATTTACAAAAAAACAAGTTTTATTTATTTATTAATTAATTAAATGAATAATTTAACCTTTCACTTCACAGGCAAGTACTAAACATGAACCTTTACATCCTTCATGAATTAATTCACTTGATTTATAATATGAAAGAACACCTGTTTCATCTAATACAAAATACCGAGGTTGCCATCCTATAATAAAATAAATAAAATTTTATTCGAAATATTTATTTAAGATTTTCTTACCATTATAATAATTCGTCCATTTATAAAGTACACCCTCCATGTAAATTCATTTATCTAGAATAGAATTTTCAATTGATTATATTTCATTGAAAATATATCAGATGTAAAAATAATATTATGTTATACGACATTAGTCGAATTATGAAGCGGAACATTCAATAATATTTTTTACTAGACAGAAAGTTTTAGTTTTTATTTTGGATTTTTTAAATAAAAAGTATTTGTATTAACATAGTACAAATTCGTACGTTTATCAATACTTCACCTATGTGATCAATTATTTTTCTTATGAAAACCAATTATAGTCGAAGAATATGTACGTGTCTCTCAATAGAGCACGATTGTTTGTCGCTGACGATGATTGTTCTATAATTTTATAGTGAAGTAATAAAACATACTCAATATATTCGTTTAGGAATATTTTTGTCAATAATTAAAAGTATCTAGAATAGAATAAATTAAGAATTATCGATGCATTTATTATTTTTTGAATAAAATATCTCTAAAATGAAACAGTAGAGATATTTTCTAGAGACAGAGAGATTTAGATTTGTATAGTGACAGTTCGGCTTAGTATCGCATAGCGCGCGTCGGAATGAGTCATCGATGAATACAGAGGGAAACGAAAAAATAATTATAGGATGATTTAAATGTCGAATTAAAACGTTTTTTTACAATTCTTCCTTCGTGATTTTTAGAAATTTCTTTGTGAAGGATATAATACTTTGAAGAACTTTCATTCCAGAGTTTAATCATCGTATTATAGAGTGACATCGAGTTCTATCAATGAGAGTTGATGATTAATATCGAAAGCAGCGCCCTCTATCATCAAACAATCTTGTTGTAAAGTATACTTGTTCTCTTGAAAGAGACAAAACTCAATTTAAACGAAGAAAAAAAACTGGTTTAAAGTAGTAGAAGTTGTCATACTTATAAATCCGATATAATTTAATTATGATTAATTTATTAGTGATCAGAGATCGAGTCTGAAAGTCTATCAAAGTATCAATGATGAACAGCGATAACAGAATAGGAGTTTATGATGTAATTTATTGAGCGAAAGAAAAATAAGACAAGATAGTTTTTTTCTGTTACATTTTAAATCAATTTATGATTCTTATGCTCATTAATCTTTTGATTTCTATATGAGTTAATGAAGAACAAGTATCGTTATAATAATATTAAACAGAAAAGAGAGAGATAATCACTACTTTAAACATGTTTGATACTTTATTGATACAATAAATAAAGATATGTGGAAGAATTTGCCAAGCATTGTTTATCTTTCATCTTAATATATAAAACGGAAATATCTTGATATCTTTCACAATACAGTAATAGAAAGAATAGTAACAATACTTTAGAAAAAGACTTGTCTTACTTAAGAATCTTTTTTATTGAGACTAAAATCATTTAAATTCAACCAAAATATGAAACTGCGTTCTTACTTAATTATTTCGAAGTCATTTTGCATACAAACTGAAAGTAATTGCTTAGATATTCGATAAATAGAAATATTGTCAAACAATAAAACAGAAAGTATACATGTCATTTATTGTTTTTACTATCTTGGCAGAGATGATTTACGTAGTGTAGACAAGAAACTTGATAAATGATGTAATGTGACAGTATAGTATATCACTGATCCATAATTTCGCCAATATTTTCATTGCACAGTGAACATATGTTAGAGATCGTGAGAGTGAAGAATATGATGATAAATTATTTTGAATATTACTATCTACACTTAGTATGAACGTATTTTGATAAAATAAATATTGAATATCACTCCAAATTCATGACATGACTTCAGTTTTATTATTAGTCTACCATTGTAGCTATAGTGAAGAGTCTATAAATGTATAATTAGTAAATTTATTTTGAGTTTAAACCTTTGCAATTTTTTCATGATTTCTTTTTAAAATATGTTTGATATAAATCATTTTTACTTTAGTTCATACATCTTGTAATATTGAACTAATACAAATTGATAACTATTATACTTAGATCAAATGTTTCACTCAATAAATAAATGAATATTGATCATTTTACAGAATATTTTTTAAGTTTAAAATTGATCTGTTAAAATAGAGATGTACAACTTGCGTTGTCAAACATCATCTTTCTTAAAACTACTATATTCATTGAATTTTTATTGTTTTACTGTTATGTCTATTGCTATCAGTCGTATGACAATGATGATTTTATTTGCTTTCTGTGACCATCAAAAAAGAGTCATAAAAACGGTAATTTATGATTCAAAAAGCAAACTGATGAAAAATCTTTACTTGATTTTTCTAATGAAAATATTCTTATTAAAAAAACGATGACGATGCAGTTATTGTTTGACGTGCAACAATTTATAAATAGAATAGCGAAGGTTGAAGGTGAATATGGATTTGAATACATGTAGCGTCCTACGTACTAACTATTCATTAAAAAATAAAAAAAAAATATATAGATCTGTTATAATAGTTTGTTGTCATTTTTGTTCACATCCATACTATAATAGTCTCCATCATAATAAATAAACAAAAGCAAATTTCGTATCATCCTTATTGTTATTCATATGTTCTAATGGATTATTTGTATACATCAAATTTCATGAGCGAAGTTAGAAGAAAAGTAAAATGTAATTTTGTTTTTATTCTCTTCCAACAAATTTTTCATTGAAATAAATGTAAAGAAAATCTTTGGTTGTAGCAATTTCAGTTATGATCGATTTATCGATGATTGTATACTAACTTTAAAAATATGATATTATTTAGAAAAAGTCATTCGATGAATTAATTACGCATTATAATATGTTAAAGATGAACGATATATTAAGTTACAAGAAAAAGAAATGTCAAGTATGTAAAATAGTGACATAGATTTTAACTCTGTAAAATTTGAATGTGTGTAAAACGTATAATATTGTGAAATTAAAATATTCTATATTAACGTGACATGATTCGCATTGTAAAAATGTGTTATCCTGTAAAGAGTATAGATAATTAGATATGTATTTGGCGTTTTTTTTTATGAAAAAAACTAACAAAAGTGAAATTTATTATTTGTCCAAAAAAAGAGGAAGAAGAATCTGTAAAAGACTAGTCTTTCCTCGTAATTCTGTATTTTAATATAAATAAAAAAATAGTTTTTGATTACTCGCACAAAGTGAACGAATGCACTTGTAGTGCGAAGAAATCATTCGTTGATTAATAGTTTTAAAAAAATCCTCTAGGGCCGCCACCAAAACCACCACCACCGAAGCCTCCAGGGCCACCTCCACCAAAGCCTCCTGGACCACCGCCAAAACCGCCACCACCGAAGCCTCCTGGGCCTCCACCAAAACCACCACCGCCGAAGCCTCCAGGACCACCGCCACCAAAGCCTCCTGGGCCTCCACCAAAACCACCACCACCGAAGCCTCCGGGGCCTCCGCCAAAACCACCACCACCGCCACCGAATAAGTCTACAAAAATCATATGAAGATAATAGTAACAAATAAAAATTAGTTAAACAATAGTTATTCAAGACATTTACCTCTAAGAAAATGATGATGATGATGATGATGACCAAACATGTCCAAGAATATGTTTTATGTCAATGTATCGACAATATTGACTGATCAATGGCGTATATATATACGCTATCTAAATTTACTGGAATAAATATTTGCACTTTTTCAATGGTGTCATTGTCAGCTCTTTTTCTTTTCTTCGTTTATTCGACGTGACAAAAAATTACATTGATAATATTGTTTACATTCATCCTTCACTTACTCTCCCACCTAATTTCTGTTCGTTTTTTTGTAAAAGTGCATTCATCGTTATAGTTATACGCATTGATGTATAGTTATAATTTAGAGTGTGAACATGAAATGACGCGATTTTTAATAATGAAACGCTCTCTATAACATTTCTAATTTATATTCAATGCATTCAAGATACATGTTTGATTTAATATTACTCTTTTTGATATTTTTTCCATAGAAAGTTTATGTAACAATCGAAAATTCTTCTAATACTTGAAATAGTTTTATTAAATTCGCAATTACGTATCAACTTAACCCGATTGACTATGTAAATAGAATAATATCATATACTTATTTAAAGAATAGAAACCTTGGTTTTATTTAAATATTAATTATATCTAAGGTGTCGACGCTCTTTATGACACTTGGTTTCCATAATCATAGTTGTATACTTGTGAAACATTATACTAGTTGACTATGAGATCTTTTAGTACCTAATATTTTACTTATCTCATATCGTTTCATTCTTATATGCAAAAGAAAATATATAGTATTTAACTGATTACTAGAAGACGTTGATTGTTATTCACATTATAAGAAAATTCTTCAAGTTATTCGTAGGATCCGGAAAAAAAATTTTGCGTTCTGATAGATTAGTATTGGTTACTGAGATTTATCAAACGTTGTGAAAATAAGCATAAAAAGTGTGTTTTGGAACTTTAGATTATGATCATATAAATTTGTTTAATGCCATTGTTTATTAAAAGTTTTATTAGAAATGAACCAATATAGAGTTAGAATAGTTTTTCTTGACACATACAATCTTTGCAGAACGCTTCGATAGATATTCTTCAATTGACACCTTCTTTGTTCATTCTTATTGAATTATTTACACAGATTGTATATAGATTAATCTTCTATATGATTTCTTTTGCTTTCAAATACAAGCTACTACGATGACAACTAACACAATAATTTCCAGAGAAACTATTGAATAAAAATATGGCAATTCAATTTAATCAGTAATTTTTATTATATTTTCATTTATTGTTTCTATTTTGATTGTATTTGATCCTATAACATTTGAATTTTATTAACAAAAGTTATATATATACATTTTTCTAGTAAAAAAAACTTTATAGACAGAAGAGAAAAATCAAATTTTGAATATTTAGTGTTGATATATTTTCATTTCTCACTTAACTACCTGTCCATGAGACAAACATAATAAAAAACAAATGCGCAAATAAATAAGAAAAAAAATAAAACATCATTTATTACTTGTCAAACTACACATGTCATGAACGCAGCGAAGTATAATTCCTCTCATTGAGTAGATAATAGACATCAAGCAAGTGTATTCATAGTGAAAAAATTACTAAATATTTATGTATTTATCTATTTCTATCGTATATCCATCGTTTGTAATATAACTAATAATATTCAGATCTACCATAAAATACCTAATTCATCATTACAATATTGATAAAAAAATTTGAAACAGTGAATAAGATAGTACATTCTAGTAATAACTGTATCGATCAAGAAAATATTGTTTACTATCATCCATAAAGATTTGCAATAGAAAATACTGTTGTCGTATATATAATAGAAATTAAAACACAAATTGGATCATTTTCTATAGAATATTAGTATTTCATTCCTTTTTTTATCATTAATATTACATATTTCACACTATTGTTTAAAATGTCACATATATATTATATAGTAAAACTAAAGACGAAATGCATAATTATTTGATTACAAAGAACTACATTTTATACCCTATAAGAGCTCTTTTTTAAAATATATTTTTCTAAAACTTTTTTGTATCGTAATGGATCAGTTATATTTCATATTTGTAACATGAACTACAATAACTATGTACTCTTCATGCATTCTTTCAAACTAGTAAAAGTATGAAGAAGGTTATCTGATATGAAGATAAATTCGGTTTCTGATGGAATGACAATATCATCTAAGAAACGAAGTGCGTTAATTTGATTCTGCATTTGTGGAAGATATTTATAATGAAAAAATATAAAAATCATGTCAGGATACAAATCGATAATCAATATAATAAGTCTGAAAAACGATGCTGATAGAAGGTAGGAAGTTTGATAAAAGAATTATACAAATATTATACAAGATCATACATGATCTTACTGACAATCCAATATTATAAGAATCATACCAATA